TTCTTTGCATGTCTCAAAAAACTGTCAAACACTGGATGTATTAAATTGTATAATGGAGCAACTCTAGGAATCAGATTTTCCTTTATCCCCAGTGTTTGCTGTTGATATTGTTTCTATTTTTTTCCTCCCCCTTGACCTGTGACCACAGAAGTTTCCACTCACTGAGCTTAATGGTCAACTAATGACTAACCAGAGATACTCTTACATACCTCAAACCATTAAATCAATAACTATTGGGGTGAACAGTGGCCTTTGTCAAAGATCAATGTATATATATTGAGGCATACCTTCAACACTCAGGTAAGCAGTTTACGACTCTGCTTGCCTTCATTTTCTATTTGCACAGACTCAAGGTTATCCAAAGGTAACAGATCAAGAACTTCCTGGTTTTTCCTGAGCATGCTTAGAGCCCTGGCATGTATAGAGCCCTATAAAGCACATAACCAACTAAATTTTATGGAATATATCAGAACTTTTCAAAGCCATTATGGACATCTCATTTATCTGCTTTTCCTTTTAAGCTGTTTGGTTAGGCCACTGTTCACCCCAATAGTTATCTACTGTCATAGGCAGCTGCAATGTCCAACAATTGATTTTGATTATTTTTCTTATGAATTTTTTAGGCCTTTTTAAAAATTTAAGTTGTATATGGACATGATACCTTTATTTTATTTACTTATTTTTATGTGATGCTGAGGATCAAACCCGGTATCTCACACATGCTGGGCAAGTGGTACACCCCCAGCCCTGATTTTGATTGTTTCTCACAGTGCTTTTGGGCTAAAGGCTGTGGTTCACAGTGGGCAAACTCCAAATTAGGTTGAATAAATTCAGATTTTTAAGTAAAATATTCCAAGAAACAACCCAAAAGGTTGAAGAATTCTCTAGAAATGAGACTATGAAGGAATTCCAAACCCTTCTACTTCCTCCAGTGGTTGCCACTCTGCTAAACTTCATCTTGATTCCAGGGTGCTGGTTTTCAGGGTTACCATGGAGCTGGGGAGGAAGGCCTGTGAATCATGCACATGAAAACACCACAAAGTGCAGTCTTTATTTATAGTTACACAAACACTTTCTAGATTACTATAGCCTTTAATTTCTACAACTCTAACAAAGTTACTCTGAAACTTTTCATTAGTGTTCTTACTGCTTTTATGGAAAAGATTATTTTTGAAAACTTGTACCTATTTCACTAACACATAATCTAAAACTCTTACTCTTAACCTTCTCCAATATACAAATAATTTATAACTAATGATTGGGTTTTTGCTAACCAAATAAGTTTTATCACCTGGTCATCTTTGAAAATAGACCGTCACTAGAATTCTTCTCCCACTTGCAAAAGCAAAAGGGAGCTGATTAGAATTATACAGTTCATTGAATAGGAAGCAGTAGAGATCATATGGAAATCTTAAAACTCTCTACCTGCAGACACTATATGAAAAGCTATAGCTTCTCTCTTTGTTAATGAAGAAAACTGGATAGTACTTTGAACACTCTTGTTCAGACCTCAATACCTTAGCCTACACTTTTTAGACTCACTAAAATGCCTATTTGTCTATGCTTCTATGTAAGTCCAACAGAACCAAATACAGCATCATTGTGCTCTATTCTTCATGATCCTTAAATAGTATTCTCTACTCCAGGTTCTAACCTATTCAGGAGAAGGAAATCAGAGGCAAGTTAAATGACAGAACTCGAATGTCTGTTCTTCATTACCTCATTCACTGCTAACCAAACAAATCATTACTATTTCTCATTCCACCTTGTAGCAAAACAACATGCAGTTACTGAAACTGCCTACTTAATGTGACTCATTTAAGAGTATTTTCTGGTTTCAAACAGGCTGATCACTATCATGAATATTCTACAATTATATTTTTCTCAAATAGGGTAATTGAAATAATTTTATTTATAGACCTTAAAATGGCATTGTTTCCTTTAATTTGGAATTCTGGACAAAAGAAAAAATAACAAAAGTAATCTTTAATCTGGTATTCTCGGCTGTGGCTCAGTCAGCTTAATAAAGAAAAAAGGAGGGAATTACTTCAGAAAATTAGGGAGAGGTTTGTTATTGTTGTTCACTGTTAGGATGCTTCTTTACAATTAGCTCAGAGTTATTTTTAATTAGTGCATATTAATTTTAAATAACGGCAGGCTTCAGGCTGGGGTTGGGGCTCAATGGTAGAGTGCTGGGCTCGCATGCATGGGGCATTGGGTTCAATCCTCAGCACCACATAAATAATAATAAAATAAGTTAAATAAAGGTACTGTGCCCATCTACAACTAAAAAAATTTTTTAAAGTCTTTAAAAAAAAAGAACGGTAGGTTTCATTGTGGCATATTCATGTACACATATAACATACTTTAAAGATACTGAGAGGAAGTAAAAATATACTACATCATCTTTATTAGAATTATCATTTTTGAAGGGGGGTGGTACTAGAATTGAAGTAACTCACAGGCACTTGACCGATGAGCCACATCCCCATCCCTATTTTTTATTTAAAGACAGGGTCTCACTAAGTTGCTTAGTACCTCGCTTTTGCTAAGACTGCTTTGAGCTCTCCATCCTCCTGCCTCAGCCTCCCAAGGGGATGGGACTACAGGCATGTACCACCACCCCCAGCTATAATGGAATTATCATCTTTGAAATCTTATTTGCAAAAGATCTGAACTTGGTTACCTTCTGCCTCGCTTATTTTACTTCTACTTAAATAATCTCTAATTCTCATTTCATCTTAATATGTGTGCATACTATTTATAGATATTATAAAAGTTCTGAAACTATGGCTTAAATAATTTTAACAGTTAATCTGTTAGTTTCCAATGCTATAATATTCTAACTGTATGATGTCCTTTTATTTCAAACTTACCAAAAGATAGCAAAATGCTATGGTGAATGCTGGCAATGGCAATGACACCAATATATTGTAACATTAAAAAAAAAAAAATCACTTTCTGGAGTCAATCTCATTAGGCCTCGGAATGCAAATTAACCAGAGTCCTTCTTTTTCTTTTATACAACATGAAATTTCATAGTTTATCCAAGAGGAAAATCTGGGTGTTATGTAGGTTCATTTATTGATCTAGGTGGTAATTTCAGGGGTGATTATTTTTTGTACTCTTTCACTGAGCTATATATGTTTGTTTTATGTACTTTTCTTTATGTGTGTTATATTCTAGAATAAAAGAGTTTTCTATATGGAAGCTCTGTAAACCCTTTATTAAACAAGAATCTAAATTCTATCAAGATAGAGAAATTATAAGTTGTCTTTGTTTGTTTGTTGGTGTTGGGGATTGAACCTACAGGCACTTTACTTACTATTGAATTATATTCCCAATCCTTTTTATTTTGAGATAGAGTGTAGTTAGGTTCTGAGGGATCTCACTAAATTGCTGAGGCTGATCTTGAACTTGCAATACTCCTGCCTCAGATTCCAGAGTAATTTATCTTTTCATATTAGTAACACTACATATCAGTCAGGTGTAGTGGCACAGGGCTGTAATCTCAGCTACTTGGGAGGCTGAGGCAAGAGGAGTAAAGTTTGAGATCAACCTGTCACAAAAAAAGAAAAAGAAAAAAAGACCGGGGATGTAGAGTGCCCCTACGGTCAAAGCTAGGTACCACAAATAAAAACAATAATATCACAAATCATTTCCCAATTGATACTATGGATATAAAACAACTAACTTACATAAATAATAGATTTGTGTGAAGTGACATAATTAGTAGTAAAAACAAAGTTTCTTCTTAGTCAATAACATCTCAACAGGACACTTAACAAGTCTGAGTAGCTTCATTACAAAGCTATCATAACAAGAAAGAAATCACCTTCAAGGAAAAAAAGTTCTTTTAAGTTTGTTATTGTTGTTGTTTGTTTTTTTAAATACAACCTTTTAGAAAGGGCAAAGCGGTTTGAGGTAGTTCTTTTATTTTTGCAATTCAAGCATGTTACAGTCTCAAAAAAGAAATTAAATTCAATTATTTTGCCTCTCATTTTAAGGACATTATCTCCCAAGTATTATTTATTTCAAATGTTTAAAAGCTGAGTGTAATGTTTTATTGCTAGTACACATCTCAAAAAGCCATATAAGTCAGTCTGAAAATAGGGAAACACATGGGAGTATTCTCATGCTTCTAAAATGAATGTCTCATCTGCATAGAAAACGAAAATCCTCACTGTACAGCAATATTCTAAGACTAGTGCTACAATAAGCAACACTGTGATTACAAATATGCCAACAGGGCTATGAAGTTGCTCTCCCACAGTATGTGAAATGGGATATTTTGTGGTTTAAGGAGGAAACACAGAGAAAATAAATATCATTTCTGAATTTCAAAGTGAAAATCCAATGAACTGAGTTAAGGGTAAGAGAAAAAGAAAATGAATACTTCATAAACAGATTCTTTTCATATATTATCTGGCTTTAACCTCATAATTCTAAAGGTGGTATTAACTCCTCCCTTAGAAAAGAAAGACAATTAAGTCACAAAATCAATCAAGACATGACAGTGTATAGAGGGTTCTTTCCACCGTATTATATTACCCCCAGGATCCCCCAGGATCCTTTCTTTCTCCTAATTTATACTTTTCATATTAAATTAGGTTTCATTTGTAGTAAGAACTATACATAAGAAAAAAAAAAACAGAGAAAAGCATCAAAATTAAATTCTAAATAAATACTATTACCATTATTACTTCACTTTCTGTTCAAAATCATACCATGACTTACTAAGTGCCCAAGTACCATTATTATACTCAGTATTCCTGTCAAGATTTAGTAATAAAAAAAGTACCAATGCATACCTATACATATATAACACATAAACATTTAATCATATAAAGTTTACTGAACTCATCAGACCTCAAACGTGATGCCAGAATATGTTAAGAAACAAAGCAAATTAAAAATCATTATGAATCTTGTGAACTAAAGGCAAAATAATTAATAAAGAAGAGATGAATCATGGTAGAATACTAGTAACTACTTCTTACCAGTCTTTCTCTGAATGTGTCTTTTCCCAGCTTCCCTGAAAGCAACTATGGCTCTGAAAAAGGCTCGGAGAACTGCCCATCGGAATACAGCCACAGGATCAATTCCAATCATCCCAGAGATAAATGCATTCTTGCTACTTCTCAGAAGAGCTACAATGTCTGGGCGCATATGATCTGTATTTTTTTCCCGAAAATCCTGTGTGAAAAAAGTCTCACTGTTAATAGTGAAAAAGCTATTAAAATTAAGATGATAATGAGTAATATGTTTGAACAGTGATTGAATAAAGACAGAAATGACTTCTGAGTGAAATGTTCATTCTAATTTACTTTATATAGAATATTATACTTTCAGGATTGGTCCCTACTTTCTGTGGTGATGTGCTGGACAAATTAGAAGAAAAGCAGTAAAAAGGTAAGAGTGATGAAAATTTAGGCAAATCAACAGGACTTAGGCTCTTTGAGCTTGAGTTAAGGGTTTTAACTTTATTTTATTCAAGCATAAAGGTCAATGGCAACAGCCAAGTGGTGTTGTATAAACATTTATTGATACATAGGAAATGAATAGCACAAAGAATGGAAAAGGGGAGAACAGACATAATAATAGAGAAGAGCTCACAGTGACTTGGACAAGCAGGTTGTCAAAGAAGAAATGAAAAAGAATTACCATGTTTGAGATACATTAAGAGGTAAAAGCAAAGAATCTGCTGATAGTAAGAGAATGAGGAAATTAAGTTAATACTTCTATTTGGGGTTTGAGGAGCTATGTGGATGGAGATGCCATATACTGAGATACATAAGACTAGAGAAAGAACGTTCAAAAGAAGATCAACAGAAAAAAATTTGTCCAAGTGAAGTTTGAGATGGTAAGGATAAATAATAGTAGGTAACGTTTACTGAGAGGTTACCGTGTGACTGGCACTCTTCTATACACTTTCTATACATTGTCTCAATCCTAAAAACCCATTTGAGACCAATATTATTATCCCTACTTTATAAATGAGAAAAGTGAGTTAGAGAGGAGAAGTACTCTGGCCCCTGTCACAGTAAGTGGAAGAGTGGAAGTCAAACACAACCAATCACAACCACTATGCTATGTCAGTATACAGACACTATGTAGGCAGATAGCTATGAGTCTTAGTCCTAGGGGGATTTCATAAAATATAACTGGATATTATCAGCATTTTAAAGAATAAGATTAGCTATGGTCTATAAACAGGCAAAAGAAACAACCTGCCAGAGCGCAGAGGTTTTAAGAGAGAGAATACAAGAAAATGGATTAAAATGTTCCACACAAATACAGGGAGATCAAGAAGCTTACACCAAGGAAACAAGGGCCCAGAAGAATACAAAGAGTCTAGGCACTGACAACAATGTTACAACTATATTCACACTAAAATAGGATTTTAAAAATATGATGAGCTTCACAAAATAGCTCTAAGTAAAAACTCTACAAGGAACACACTTAGTATAATGTCATTTATTGTCATACAGAGAAATCCACCTGGACTCTATTAAACATTTAATCATATAAAGTTCACTAAACTCATCAGACCTCAAACATGATGCCAGAATATGTTAAGAAACAATGCAAATTAAAAATCATTATGAATCTTGTGAATTAAAGGCAAAATAATTAATAAATAAGAGATGAATCATGGTAGAATACTAGTAACTACTGCTTACCAGTCTTTCTCTGAACGTATCTTATGCTTTCCTAATTCTTTATTCTTCTAAAAACAAGGGAAATGGGTAAACAAGCCAGGATCTTGACGGTTGGCTTGTCCCTAAATATACTTAGAGCAAAAGTATATATTATTAAAAAAGTAAAACTGGGTTTTCTTTTTTGGGGGGGACTGCAGAGTGGTTAACCAGGGATTGAACTCAGGGGTAGTTGACCACTGAGCCACATTCCCAACCCTATTTTATATTTTATGTAGAGACAGGGTCTCACTGAGTTGCTTAGCGTCTCACTTTTATTGAGGCTGGCTTTGAACCCATGATCTTCCTGCCTCAGCCTCCCAAGCTACTGGGATTACAGGTGTGCGCCATTGTGCCTGACTTTTTATTTTACTTTTTAAACTATCAAAATTATTCCTTCCTATCTATTCCACCTCAGGATATGATATCTCCAATTAACGCATCAGCTCTAACCAGTTATCACTTATCATCTAGAACATAAATAACGTATATAGATGGTATCTCCTTCCCCAACTCTGTTGCCATTTCAGTGATTTGGTTGTTTGGTTTTCTGGTGGTGGACCGGGGTGTGGGGGTGCTAGGGATCGAACCCATAGGTGTGTTACCACTGAGCCACATCCAAAGTCCTTTTTATTTTTTTGAGGCAGGGTCTCACTAAGTTACTGAGAATGGCCTTAAACTTGCAATTCTCCCGCCTCAACCTCCTGAATCATTGGGATTACAGGTGTGCTCCACTGTACCAAGCATTCCTGGGGTTTATCTTAACATTTCATCCCAATTAAAAAAAAAGAAAGAGGGAACGCTACCTAATTTATCTCCCAGATTCTACTCTTGCCCCTTATTATGCCTCTTCCTCAAAATAATCAAAACAGTCTTTTTTTCTTCTTCTTCTTCTTCTTTTCTGGCAGTGCTGTGAATTGAACCTAGAGCTTTATGCATGCTAGGAAAGCACTCTACAACAGAGCTATAACCCCACCCTGCACAGCAGCAGTCTTTTAACAACACAAATCAGATCTTCTGCTTAAAATCTTTTCATAGCTCCCTACAATAAAAACCAAACTCAATAAAAATCAAACTCCTTTAACTTGGCCTAGAAGCCCTTAAGAATTAACCTGCTATCTTACTCTGAATTCATTTCACATCACTATTTCTTTTTGTTCCTTTCATTCTAGCAGCACTGACCAGTTTTCATTTATTTCAACATATCAGACTCTTCCTTATTCCATGGCCTGTACTTCTTCATCCCAACTCATCATCAACGTAAATTTACTTCAGGTCATCTCTCAAAAATTAAAAAGTTTCTTAGAGAGGTGGTTCATGGCTCCACACCACTACATTACTACTTTTTCTCACAGAACCCATTCATTTATTTATAGCATATAGCCCATTTACCAATATTTCATACACAATCATATGTATGTATACACAGAGTCAGGAACATTTCTGTCTAGTTAATCACTAAATCATTCCAAACACTAGGCACAGGGTCTGATGCATGGTCTATGTTCAATAAGCACCTCTTAAATAAATAAATCAGTACACTTGATGAGTAAATTAAAAATACTCACCCTGAGATCAAAGAAAAAAATTGTATTGCTCCACTATCATTCATATCACCACTGTCTTGCATGGAAACCAAGTGTCTTAAGACACAGGCTTAAATTTCAAATGGTTGAATAACAGGTTCATCAGTTTTAAATCAGAAATGGATGAAATCATGAAGTTTCCCCTTTCAGGAGGTAGGAGTTCAATAGGAGTACAAGCTCACAAATACCTAATAGTACATGAAGACATAAGGCCTCTGTCAGCCCTATGTGTATAAAGAAGGGGAAAATTCAGTAAAGTCTGTGGACATATGGATGAACACATGGGTTTGAGATATACAGTTATCTATTCTTTCAGATCAAAAAGTTTATTGTTTAGCTAAACTATGGAACCAACCTAGGTACCCTTCAACAGATGAATGGATAAAGAAAATGTGGTATACATATGCAATGGAATATTACTCAGCCTTAAAGAATAAAATTATGGGATTTGCCGGTAAATGGATGGAGCTAGAGAATAGCATGCTAAGCAAAATAAGCCAATCCCAAAGAACCAAAGGCCAAATGTTTTCTCTTATATGTGGATGCTAATTCGTTGGGGGAGGGTTGCTAGAGAAGAATAGACGTACTTTGGGTTAGACGGGGGGAATAAAGGGAGGGGAGGGCGTATGGGGGTAGAAGGATAATAGAGTGAATCAGACATTACTATGCTATGTACATATATGATTACATGACCAGTGTAATTCCATATCATGTACAACCAGAAGAATGAGAAGTTATACTCCCTTTATGTATAATGTGTCAAAATGCATTCTACTATTATGTATAACTAATTAGAATTTTAAAAGTTTATTGTTTATTAGAATGGACGGACATCAGATTACATGCAGAAGGAAACCAACAGAAACCTGAGAAAGTAATGTACTGAAAAGCATAAATCTATTAGTATCTAATATTATCTCTATTAGTAGAATCTAACATTATCCTAATGTCTCCAAATGTTACTAATTGTAAGCCTCCAAAAACTACAGGGGGTAGTGTGCCAGAAAAAGAGACAAAGTCAAGAACACACCTCTGCCCTTAAAGTACATTCATTGAAAAATCAACTGACCTTTACTCCATATTTTACTTTTCCAGCATAGTGTTTTATGGTGAAAGCAGGCTCCATCACAGCTGGAAATTCAATGTAAGAATTCTCTTCATGTTGATGCTTAAACTTGTCTAGCAATGTCTGATTTGTTGCCTGTGGAAAACTGAATTTATGAGGAAAAAAAAAACAAAAAAATAGAAGAAAGATGCAGTAATCAGTATTGCCTATTAAAAAACACATTACATTGCTATCTAATACATTTAGCACCTTACAAAGAGTTTTTGCCTATACTATCAAATCTGATTCTCATAATAAGCTAGAAGAGAGTATAATATGGATTGTTGTTCCTATATTATAGATGAGGGATAAAAAGTTATGGTTTGCCCATACTCAGATTCTGCAATTAACCTGAGAAATTAATTCAGGTCATTACATATTTATTTAGGTTTCACTGTGTTGCATTACTGTAAAACCCAAAGGAAAATAAACCCCACCAAAAGGAAATAATTTCTTATTCTTAAATAGGTCATTAAAATTCACATTCTTTTGTTTTCCTATTTATTGGCACATAAATGGTCACAATTTTCTTATCTATACCTGTTATTACATTTCTTATTAAATCTATTACTATTTTAAATATACATCAATAGGTTTGTATTCATTGGTTGGATTCAATGAGCATTTCAAGGTCAAAAATCACACAAATAATATCTATTAAGAATTGCATAATAGGGGCTGGAGTTGTGGCTCAATGTAGAGCACTTGCCTGGCATGTGTGAGGCCCTGGGTTTGATCCTCAGCACACATATAAATAAATTAATTAAATAAATAAAAGATCCACTTACAACTTTAAAAAAAAGAATTGCAAAATAGAAACATAGGAACATAAACATTTAGAAGAAGAAAAATAAGCAGTGATGGGGAACAACAGAAAGGTTATTAGGAGGCTAGCTGTTAAAAAGTTAGGTGTAAACTATTAGGTAGGAGTTTCAAATAGAGGAAATATCACTGACAGGAAAAGTAGAAAATATATCTTTCAGAAATAGTATAAAAGAAACTGAAATAATGAGCAATAATGTGCCATGAGGTTGTAAAGATAAATCCCAAATCTAATGTGTAAAAATGATTCTTAAATTACTACAAAATGGTTAATTATATACTGTGTACTCAAATCAGAAAAGAGCATCACCTTTGGTGTTAGATAATCTTAGTTTAAATTACCAGTTCTATCAGTGATCTTGGGCAAGATAGGTAGCCTTTCAGAACTTTAAATTTAAATACCAGAAATGATCTCATGACCCATAAAGTGAGTATAATAACAGGTATAATACTGTTAGTAGAATCAAATAATACTAGTAAAAAAAAAAAAATCTGACACTACCTGGCATTTTATAGGGAGTACATAAATATTATCAGCTTTTTTATGTTGCCAACACTGCCAAGTCACCTTGGCCTGTTTTTACAGGACAGTCCAATTTCACATCCCCTTTTCTAAAACAGATTTGTTCCAGAAGAAGACAGATTAGGCTCATTTTCTGAAAGCCCTATTAAGTATAGGAAAAGGTTCACATGTCTGACTCAGACTTACCACCTTACTTGGGCAGATGTTTACTATATCCTAGCTTCCTGATGAACGTGCGCGTATTTTGCAGGTGGCTAAAGAACATGCCAACCTCCTCCATGTCCAAAGCCTCCTTACTCATCCTGCAGGAGATGCTGCCATCCCGATAGCTAAATCTAATTGGACATACCAACCCCAAGACACCGGGGTCACTAGACTCCAACACATGATTACTTGCTTCCTTGAAGGCATGACAAAAAATTCTAATACCCAGGTTAATCATGACAAGATAAGGGAAATCACCCAGGGACCTGACGAAAACCCTGCCCTCTTTTTGGCTCAACTTACTGAAGCTATTACCAAATATACCATCCCAGATCTTGATACTCCTGCTGGTACTCTCTTTCTCCATGTCCAGTTTATAAGTGGGTCTGCACCTGATATCCATAAAAAATTTAGAGGAGAACTCAGAGACTCCTCAGCAGTAGCCTTGTAGATGTTGTTTTCATGGTTTTTAACAATAGAGAAGACGAGGCCAAAAAGGAGAAAGGAAAGTATCTTAAAGCTAAATATCACCTCCTGGCTGGCTTGCCACACAATTCCCCCATCCTCGGAGTAAAGAAACCCAATGGCCAATTTTGGCTAGTACAGGACTTCAGGAAAATCAAAGAGGCAGTTGTCCCCACATATCCTGTAGTACTCAATCCCTATACCTTTTTATCTCCTATCCCATCCTCCACCACCACCCATTTCTCAGTGTTAGACCTCAAGAATGCTTTTCTTACTGTACCCCTCTCTTAACTCTAAACCACCAGGGTCTCCATGTCCTCTTCTAGAACTCTAAAAGGAGGGGATCTCCCTAATTTGTCTCTTCTCAGCAGAAGGCAGCCAGACTTGATATCAACACCCCAATTTATTATCCCCTTTCAGAGTCTGGAATGATGAAAAATAACATCACCCAAGACAGCCCCCAGGAAGAAAAGAGGACAGTGTGGCCTGGGAGGAAGGAGGGGGGAATAAGGCAAACATTCATCCTTTCCCAGTGATAATGGGTCCTGAGGGAAGAGATAAACACACTAAGCCATGGATTTTCACCCTTTCCCATTGTTGATGAGTCCTGGAAGGAGAAAAGCAAATACTGAAGTTCTAGGAAACAATGGATTCTGGAGTAAGAAGATAAGCAATGAGCACCAAGCTCTGGGCTTTTATCCTTTCCCAGTAACACTGAGTCCTGGAGGGGACGGAAAACAAATGGGCTCTGGGCTCTAAATTTTTATCCCAATTTCAAGCATTTACAACTGTTTCCCTGAGTTAGAATGAGTTTTGAGTTTTTACAACTGTTTTCCTGAGTTAAGATTTTTTACCTGACTGCCCAAGTTTTTAATGATTAAGTCACACTAAACATTCTGCAATGATTAACTCTCATTAAGACCTATAAAAAGCAGACCCCTCTTATAACCAGTGCCCATTTTCTCCCTTGAAAATATGCCATGTGCCATTCCGCCAATGCTTAATAAAGACAGCTTGCTGATCTGTTTGAGGTCTGCTCCCTTCTCAGTTATTTGGGCTTATACTATGGCTTCCTAAAAACATCTCCATTATAAGCTTGCTCTAAAATTCTAAAACAATTCTAGAATGCATTATAATCCTTAGGATTTCAAGCACACACCAGAAACAGCCTCTATAATATTCTTTTCAATTCCAACCTTGTTTCAAGTCACCCTAATCATGTGACTTTCCTAGTCAGAAAATTTATGGATCAAAAGCAAAGAAACTGAATGATTCCAAACAACTAAAACTAGACAAACCTAACCTCTGCAAATGTTTCACTACTTCATAACAGAATGCTTCTCTCTTCTAGCAGCATACTCAGCTTACCTCACTGTCTCTAACTCCGTTTAGAGTTAAGAGGGGTATAGTAAGAAAAGCATTCTTCAGGATTTATTTGCCTTCTAATACTCCAAGTACTTTAAAAGCTTATGTTTTTCTCTTACTTAAAGTGAAAAAAGGAAGGGGGATAGATAGGAGAAGTCTTTACTCCAAATCAAGAAAGATGGAAAGAAAAGCTCTCCACAGGTCCTACATTCAACAAACATTTGTGGTATATATATCAAGAAGGCAAATCAGACATTATTGCTCATTTTAAAGCTCTTATCTCATGTTCCCCAAAGGCTATGAACAAGGGTAGCCTGAGAAGTACTTCTAGAGCTTTCAGAACTAGCAATGCATGGACTCTACTTACTGATTCTGAATTAACTGATCAAGAATGGTGACCTAGAAAGCATTCATAAATTCAGAAGATAATTCTTATTAGTAGACAGGATTGACAAAATGCTGCCCTAAATAAATGTTCTAATCTTAACTTCAGACTCTGTTAAAATACAGATTCTTATTCAACAGGTATGGGTTGGAAACCTGAGATTTTCATATTTCTAACGAGTTTCAAGGTTCTCTACCGCTGCTGTCAGCAACGCCTTTTGAGTTCTACAGGAAAGACTAGTAACATTGCTAACATCCTATTCATCATACATTAACTTTGAGACTTTGCTTGCACTATTTCTTCCTCCTAAATGCCTTCTACAGAACCTAACTTAAATAATGTGCTCAACATCACAGCCAGTAGGTAGCACACACAAGATTAACCTAGATTTTGTGTGATTCCTACAAGTAGAGCATCATAAACAAAATGCATGAAGTCAGAATATCACTAAGGATAATTTTCTTTTCTTTTCTTTTTTTTTAGGATTTTTTTTAATTGGTTGTTCAAAACATTATAAAGCTCTTGACATATCATATTTCATATGATTCATACATTAGATTCAAGTTGGTTATGAACTCCCAATTTTACCCCAAATACAGATTGCAGAATCACATCGGTTACACATCCACATTTTTACATAATGCCCTATTAGTAATTGTTGTATTCTGCTACCTTTCCTATCCTCTACTATCCCCCCTCCCTCCCCTCCCATCTTCTCTCTCTACCCCATCCACTGTAATTCATTTCTCTCCTTGTTTATTTTCCCATTCCCCTCACAACCTCTTATATGTAGTTTTGTATAACAATGAGGGTCTCCCTCCATTACCATGCAATTTCCCTTTTCTCTCCCTTTCCCTCCCACCTCATGTATCTGTTTAATGTTAATCTTTTCTTCCTGCTCTTCCTCCCTGCTCTGTTCTTAGTTGCTCTCATTATATCAAAGAAGACATTTGGTATTTGTTTTTTAGGGATTGGCTAGCTTCACTAAGCATAATCTGCTCTAGTGCCATCCATTTCCCTGCAAATTCTATGATTTTGTCATTTTTTAGTGCTGCGTAATACTCCATGGTGTATAAATGCCACATTTTTTTTATCCATTCATCTATTGAAGGGCATCTGGGTTGGTTCCACAGTCTAGCAATTGTGAATTGTGCTGCTATGAACATCGATGTAGCAGTATCCCTGTAGTACGCTCTTTTAAGGTCTTCAGGGAATAGTCCAAGAAGGGCAATAGCTGGGTCAAATGGTGGTTCTATTCCCAGCTTTCCCAGGAATCTCCATACTGCTTTCCAGATTGGCCGCACCAGTTTGCAGTCCCACCAGCAATGTACAAGAGTACCCTTTTCCCCACATCCTCTCCAGCACTTGTTGTTGTTTGACTTCATAATGGCTGCCAATCTTACTGGAGTGAGATGGTATCTTAGGGTGGTTTTGATTTGCATTTCTCTGACTGCTAGAGATGGTGAGCATTTTTTCATGTACTTGTTGATTGCTTGTATGTCCTCCTCTGAGAAGTGTCTGTTCAGGTCTTTGGCCCATTTGTTGATTGGGTTATTTGTTTTCTTATTGTTTAATTTTTTGAGTTCTTTGTATACTCTGGATATAAGGGCTCTATCTGAAGTGTGAGGAGTAAAAATTTGTTCCCATGATGTAGGCTCCCTATTTACCTCTTTTATTGTTTCTCTTGCTGAGAGAAAACTTTTCAGTTTAAGTAAGTCCCATTTGTTGATTTTTGTTATCAACTTTTGTGCTATGGGTGTCCTATTAAGGAATTTGGAGCCCGACCCTACAATATGTAGATCGGAGCCAACTTTTTCTTCTATCAGACGCAGAGTCTCTGATTTGATATCTTTCAAATTATATATATTTATTTATCTTTCAATTTATATATAATTATATATTTCCCATAGAAATATATATTTCCACAAAATATTTTCTAGAAAAAACAATTCAAATGAGTCCCAAAAAAGCTCTTCTTAAATGTGACTAAATTTATTTTCAACATCTCTTTACAGGTAAAAGGCAGAGGAAAAATACTTCCTGCCTTTACATCTTATCTTCTGGGATATTAAAGCATAAAAGATGAAAGGATTTCAGGACATGCTACCCCAAAATATGCTGTTCTGACCTAATGATTATTTGAACTGAAGGCAAATCAGAAATACAAGATATAGGGATAGGCTCCTAACTTCCTTTTTCCTACGTAAAAATAAGCCATAAAATTCTCCATGAGAAGGGTGCTCTCCCTGTTCCAGAAAAAGAACATCCTAATTACCAAAGACTAAAAATAGACATTAAGACAGAACTGTACAAACTAACAAAATAACCCTTATCTTCTACTAGTTATTCCCAGTCTCTGTCACCTTCACACAATTTATTGCTCCTACCCCAAACCCTTTGTCTTGAAATTTCTGGAAAAATTTTTCATTTTTGTCTAAAAAATAGAAAAGCTCTTTGTTTTACTTCTTCAGGTCTCTATTTTCATGTACATATAAAATTCTAATAAAATGTAAATGCTTTCCCTCTGTTTATCTGTCTTATGTCAGTTTCTCAGGCCCAGTCAAGGACCCTATCAGAGCAGTGGACAATTTTTTCCTACCCAGTGAGACAAAAATGAACCATTTATTTAAAAAAAAAAAAAAGGTACTGGACTGGCTCATTTACAAAGTAAAGAAATTAAAATAATGTTTTTAAAATTTTTCATGGTGGTCTGAATACAAACATAATTGAAGAGATGATTAAAAGATTATTTAGTCCAGTCTCCTACCTACAATAATATCCTCAAAGATAATCCAGAATTATTATTTCTAATGAGGAATTTTTTACTTCTTGAAGCAGATACTAATCAGCTCTAATAATCAGAAAATTTGTTTCTTTTTATTGGGCTAAATTTGTCATTTCAATTTATGTGGCTTGAGTGACAACAAAGAGGTGACATTCCCTTTATTGATCAAAACTTAAATCTATGATCTAGGCATGGTGATGCACACCTATAAACTCAGCTACTTGGGAGACTGACGTAGTAGGATTGTGAATTTGAGGCCAGACTGGGCCACTCTGTCTCAAAAACAAAAAGGGCTGCAGATGTAGCTCAGTGGTCAAGTGCCCCTAGGTTCTATTCCCAGTATCACAAAAAGCAAACAAAAAATACATCTATGTTAGGTAGAAATTGGCCAGAAATATACAATCTTTTTATAGTAAGATGTGCATTTAATAAAATGTTGCTTAAAGAATGGTGAGGTAATGAGCCCTTTGTTCTATTCATGTTTTAATTATACAGTCATTACATCAATTGCTGTTGACAAATGTGACAGAGTAGATAGCAGCAGCATTTCCTGTTTGCATGCAAGAAAACTGAAGAGCCAGGCATGGTGGTGCATGTGACTCTGGAGGCTGAGGCAGGAGGATTACAAGTTAGAGGACAGCCTCAGCAACTTAGGCCCAAAGCAACTTAGTGAGACCCTGTCTCAAAATAAAAAATACAAAGAGCTGAGGATATAGCTCAGTGGTAAACCATATCTGTGTTCAATCCCCAGCACCAAAAGGGAAAAAAAAAAAAAAAGGAGATTTGCAGAGAGTAGGTAATAGAGATAGGATATAAATCCTCGACTTATGGCTCTAAAACTGCACCGTTTGGGGAAAGTAATCTTATTCAATACTTCAAAGTACAACCTTATTAATCAGAAATAGCTGGAGGGTTTGAATCTTGAAATCTGACTTACAAATCATATGATCTTTCACTTAAAGTGCTTAAAACATACTTGTTGCTCTAAATATCTCAGACAAAAAGAACTGCTTATCATTTCATTATCAACTACCAAAATTATTAGTTCTGAATACTAAATATTAAAATTAACTATGATTTAAAAGATTTCTCCAATAAATACTAGAGGTAAACTATGCAACCAGAATTAGGAATTACTGACCTTACAATTGTATAAGAGATAATAATCATTTCTGGGAATAGAGAGCAATACCAAGAATACTCTGCATAGAAAATTAAAATATTTTTATTTTTGTTGACTACACTTTAATTCATTTAGAATAACAGAAACATATTAGTGGTACAGTGGGTTAGGGTGGATACTAGACATAAACTCTTAGCAATTTCTTTCCACTATATTTTTCATTCTGCAATCTTACTATTTTCATGTAGCAATTCTGTGTGTTTATGGCATATTAATAGAGTGACATAACTTTTACAAAAATAGGATATTTCTGAGAAGAAAGGACTCACTTTTATTAACTAGACAACAAGTATAAACTTTTAATTGCCCCATGATCCCATGAAAACCTGATGTATACTCTTTCATCCTATGACAATAAATTTTCAATATTTTCTATCATAGCTTAATGGGTATAATATTAAATTAGGAATCAGGTAAGTTAATTCAATTTCTAAATTTGTTACTGAAGAGTTGTTTAAAAATCTACACAATCTCCTCATTTCAGTTTCTTCAATTCTAGGTTTGCCATCTGTTATGATAAATATGAGGAGTTTGATATGAAGTATCCACTGAAAAGCTCACTTGGCAATGCAGGCATGTTCAGAGGTGAGATGATTAGATTATAAAAGTTGTGATTCATCAGTGGATTAATCACTTAATGGATTAATAATCTGAATGGATTACTTGGTGATAATCACAGACAGGTGGGGCGAAGCTAGAAGAAGAAAGTTACTGAGGGTGTGCCCTTGGAGATTTTATCCTCAAAGTACCCTCTCTCTCTGCTTCCTGGCTGCCATGCACTGGGCAGTTTTCCCCTGCCATGTCCTTCCTTCATGATGTTCCACCTCACCTCAGGTCCACAGGAATAGAGTCAGCCAAAAATGGGCTGAACCTCTAAAACTGAGAGCAAGTTTTCCTCCTCTAAGTTGTTCTTGTCCGGAACTGGTCAAAGCAACAAAAAACTAACACCATTTTGTAGGCTAATTTAACTATAAATCATCTTTTTAAATATCAGACATTAATCTGGAGGATGCTACAGCATATGAAGCTTTCAGAGGTTTATATTTAAGACTGCTATACTAAACAGTATAGACTAGAAAATATTTGGCATATATTGCCATTTACCACCAACACAGTCATGACAGGCATCATGAATATATCATGATATCCTTTTTTACTAAACATGAAAACTGCAAATACATCTCATAAATAAAAATTCAAAAAGAACAGAACACACAACAAAAAAATAAAATACGTCAACAAATCTAACATCAAACTCTGTCAAAATAACTGCAAAAAATAAAAAATAAATTCAGTAGTGAAATTCAGCCTATTTATCAAGAAATGCAAATATTTAATAACTGCATACAACAGAACCTTTAGCCCCTTACTTGGAAATATAAGGAGAAAGTTTAAACTTAAGAAGGCATAAAAAGCCCAATGGCCAATAACAATATTGAAAAGAACCATACTTACTTGCTTTCTTCATCCAAAAGATGGAGCAGTCCTGTTGGTTTTTTGCTAATAAGATTTATGCAACAAGTATTATCAATATAATCAATATTATGCCAACTGATACCTTCAGTTCTATATTCCTCCTAGGAAAATCAAACAACAAAATAATAACTTATTCATCTTACAGAAAATGATAGGCATATGATAACAAGGACTGAAAAGTACAGTCTGTTTTTTCTTTTAAAATCACAATCCATATAATGGAAAGATGCTTATTAATCAGCTTACTAATCTTAATACAGTGTCTCTGTTTCTTTACATTGAGCAAAGTAAGAAAGCCCATCCAGTGGCACACTCCTGTAAACCCAGCTACTCAAGAGGCTGAAGCAGGAAGACTGCAAATTTGAGGCCAGCTGCAGCAACTTGGTGAGATTCTGTCTCAAAAAGAATTACAGAGGCAGCTCAGTAATAGAAAAAAAAAAAATTTTTTTTAAGTACATGCAACCAAATTTTGTGGTTAGAATCCTATTTCTGAAACTTCTCTAAGCAAGACTTAGGCCTGGTGTTTAGTCACACCATATGATTACTCCATTAAGGAAAATACACAAGTAAGAAGCCTAATTTCCCCTACATAATTCTAAACTACCAAAAGGACTGCATTTGTTGGATCATCAACAATTAATTTAATAAAATAGAATTCCTCAGGAAAGTGGGAAGTCACTCACAAATCATGTGGAATTCATATACTGAATTTTGGCAAAAGAAAAATCTTTTGTACATTTTTACTTTAACAAAAAGGCCTCAAATTTCAAGGTTAAAAACCCCAAAACTCAGGTCTTGAGCAGCTACAGTAAAACCCTTGTACAAAGCACCCATTTTTCCTTACTCTTTTTACTGGGAAATACTTTTTTATTTGTCCCTATGAAACTTTCACCTTAAATTAATTACTCTAATTAGGAAAGTATTAATTATTTTCTCTTAAAATGTTCACAAGAGTAGAATTTTTATTAAAAGGTCACCCCCAGTGGTAAGAAAGCACCACTTACCACCCTGCCATTCTACCTTTTTGTAGCATGGATAGCAAGCATACTAGTTAAACAAGAGCATTAGGATTTTTACACATTATAGTCCTTAGTCCCCTTCTAAATGAACATTCAGACTCTCTTACCCAATGCCAGCTTCTAATATATTTGGTAAGATTTGTTTACAGATATTATCTAAATAAACTCACACAATACATAATTGTTTTTGTCTGACTTTTTGGCTCAATTTAGGTTTCAGAGACATACATTTTGTTAGAAGCCACTCAAAGTTCATTCATTTTAATTGCTATAGGAAAGAGGTCATAAAAAACATAATCACTCATTTATGTACTGTCTATATGTTGTGTATTTTCTCAATGTAACTGCAAAGTTGAAACCATGTTGTTCAAAAAAACCGAAAGGACCTATTTAATCTCATTCTTTTCAGAAACTGTATGCCAAACTGACACAGAATGTTACTCCTCAAACTTTAATGTATAGCAGTATCATATGGAAGGCTTGTTAAAACACAGTCAATTGGGCCTCATCCCAAGAATTTCTGAATTAAACAGGTATAGGAATACACTTAGGGTTTTATTTCTCACAAGTTCCCTGGATATGTTGATGCTAAAAGGAGAAGAGGAGAAACAACATTTTGATTTTGAGAACTAATTCTGTAGAGTATTCCACTGTATTTACATATAACAACTTATTCATCGATTCTCCTTTGGCAGATGTTACTTTTACTTCTAATTTTTGGCCATTAAAAATAAGGCCATTGGGATTGGGGATATAGCTCAGTTGGTAGAGTGCTTGCCTTGCACGCACAAGGCTCTGGGTTTAATCCCCAACACCAAAAAAAAAAAAACAGAAAAATAAGGCCATGGGCTGGGGTTGTGGCTCAGTGGCAGAGCACTTGCCTCACACATGTGAGGCACTGGGTTCGATCCTCAGCACCACATAAAAATGAATAAACAAAATAAAAATATTGTGTCCATGTATAACTAAAAAATATTTTTTTAAAAATAAGGCCATTACAACCATTTCTACCCAAAACTTTTGTGTGTGTGTCTGCACGCACACGCATATATATGTATTTATGATTAATTTCATTTTTTTGGTTCTTCTAAATTATACATTATCTGTATATATTTTGAGATTATAAATTACACGTATTTAACTCAGCAAATATTGCCAAATAGTTTTCTAAAGTGGCTGTGCCAATTCACAAAACCAGCATATGGTAGCTTCCCTACCAACACATTTCTTCAATACTTGTATTAACCAGTCTTTTTCATTTTAATCATTCTGGTGAATGCCTTAGGGATCTGATTGTGATTTTAATTTCAATTGCTGTGATGAATAATGTTATGGTTTAGGTATGATGTGTCCCCCCAAAAGCTACTGTGTGAAACAATGCAATAAAGTTTAGAGGTAAAATGATTGGCTTATGAGAGCCTTATTCAAAGCATTAATCCCAATAAGGATTAACTGGGTGGTAACAGTAGGCAGGAAGGGTATGGCTGGAGGAGGTGGGAGAAGTGAACTATTTTGTCTGTAGTGAAAGGATCTCTCTCTCTCTCTCTCTCTCTCTCTCTCTCTCAGTGGCCATGTTCTGAGCTGCTTTCCTCTGCCACACTCTTCCAGGCATGATGTTCTGTCTCACCTCAGGCCCAAGGAATGGAGGCAACTGTCTATGCACTGGGACCTCTGAAACTGTAAGACCCAAATAAACTTTTCCTCCTCTAAAATTGTTCTTATCAGAGAGCTGGGAATGTAGCTCAGTAATAGTGCTTTTGCCTAACATGTATAAGGCCCTGGGTTCAATCTCTAGTACCATAAAATATAAAATTGTTCTTCTCAGGTCTTTTGGTCACAGGAGCAAAAAAAAGCTGACTAAAACAAATAATAAGAGAAAAACATTTCCATGTTAACTGCCTGTTTAAATATTTCCTTTTGTGATATGCCTATGTTCATTATTTTATCAATGTCTAACAGAAATAAAATATTCTGTAACTTAGCAGTAAAAAATCTTAGAATACCTAAAATTCCATTTACTCCCCTAATTTATATGCTACTCTTCTCAGGCATTTTAGTTCTACTTAACTATTATAGCATTTACCTTTCTCCAATTTAGTTAGCTGAATATTCACTTAGATTAATCAACTTTTAAAAATATTTTTCACTGCTCTTCATTCCTTCCTATACCTCCAAACTCTAACTGGGGATATGTTAATAATGCCGAAATAACATGATTCAGTTTAAAGGAAAACATCCCACTATATCCTAGCTTCCACTATTTCCTCTGAAAGCTGACTGCCTTTCTTACTGCTGCATCTTTAAAGATACTATTTTGTTTCCTCTCTATGCTTTCAGACTGTTTTTGGATTTTTAGAGTTCCTCAAATGTGTGCTTTGGGCAGTAACGGTGAGGAAGGTGCATGTGCACATGCACACATGTGTGTTCTACCTTCCAGATCACTAATTTTCTCTTAACCTGTATCTACTTATTAAAAACAATCTTATATTCTTAATTTCACAGTAGTAGATTTGGGGTATTTTCTGGACTAGTTTTTAATAAAAGTATTACTCTTTTAAAAAATATTTGAAAACATAAAGCCCTGTCTGATGACATCTTTATCTAGATCCCCTATTGTACTACTATTTCACTGCTCTTGTTTTTTAATTATGTTAGTTTACCCCCTTGTCTTTTTTCTACTTAGTTCTCTCTTCCTTTCTTTTCAACAGTGGCAATTTTAGCATTTGGATGATCTCTTCCTCCAGTAGAAAGCGAATTTGCTCTTGGCACATATGACTAAGAACACTAGAAATTCTACACTAGTTACACCAAATCAGGAACTGAGATGACTTAAACTGAACATCAAGCCCCATGATGCCTATCTATTCCTAGCTTATCTTTTATTCCTAATGGGTACTCTTTTGGGGAGTCTCAACCTGTCTAAAGAAATATCCATGGACTTCCTCAGTAGAAAAGTCTGCTCAGTTCTTCAGACCATCAAGCCTAGAACAAAGAATCATCTGGGCTCACTTGCCTAGAATTCCTTCTTTCATTTATTTGAAAACAATCCAATGTTCAGTTTTAGAGGTGTTATTCCCCATAAAGTTAGTCAGAATTTTCTAGTCTGACTACACCAAATGTAGAATGAACAAAACAAAAACTTTACAAATTAAAAAACAAAAAAAAGAAAGAAAGAAAGAAAAAAAAAAGCTCAAACCAGGCACAGTGGCACACACCTGTAATTCCAGGGGCTCAGGAGGCTGAGACAGGAGGATTGTGGGTTCAAAGCCAGCCTCAGCAACAGTGAGGCAGTAAGCAATTCAGTGAGACGCTGTCTCTACATAAAATACAAAACAGGGCTGGGGATGCAGCTCAGTGGTCAAATGCCCCCGAGTTCAATCCCCAGTATGCCCCACCCTGGCCAACCTGCAAAAAAAAAAGCTTTCCCCTTAAAAAAAAAAAAAAAAAAAAACTTGCTGGATTAAAAACTACTTAAATAAGATCCCTGAACTCTACATTTTCTTCTCTAATGTTTAGCACAATGCATGGCACATGACTATTATTGATGAATATCAATGATGTGAAGGATAATTCTGAGCAAGAAGAGGATAATATCAAAAATGATAACAGGAAACATTTTCATATCTCAGAAACCTTGCACATAATCTCTGCCGCTATCTTAATTCAGGATGCAAAAATCACTGAACAAGACTAATTCACCTGGTTTGTGCAGATTGTTTCCTTACCTCCAGTTCACTCTCTTCAGTCCATCTTCCACAGTTAAAATGCAAGTACCATACCAAATATACTTCAAATAGCTCCTCCCTCTCTGAAAGAAAAATTCTAATCTTCTCTGCGTGATAATATAAGGTCCCACTTTTAAATATACTTTATGTATTCCTTTGCCTAAAATACCTTTACCCCATTGACAATCTTGTGAGCTCCAACTCACTATTCAAAATCATATTCCAGAACCACCTCTGGAACTCAATGTAGATGAATCAATACAGTATTTTACTTTATGCCTGATTATAGCATGTGTCATCCTACATGGAAATGAATGTATCGCTTTCCTTCCTACATGCCTATATATTCCTTTTGGACAAAATTTAGAACTAAACCACAATTCTCATACTGAAGAGTTTTTGTTTTTTTATTCTAAAAAAAATCTTTGATACTAACTGATTTCGGTATTCAATTGAATTTAACAACCAGTCACTAAGTAACCATCTCATAACAGGTACAAATGATACCCATTATAAGACACTTAATATTTAAACTGCCTTGAATCTCTTTTTTTTTTTTTTTGAGAGTGAGAGTGAGAGAGAGAGAGAGAGAGAGAGAGAGAGAGAATATTTTTTAATATTTATTTTTTAGTTTTCGGCAGACACAACATCTTTATGTGGTGCTGAGGATCAAACCCAGCACCCCACACTTGCCAGGCGAGTGCGCTACCGCTTGAGCCACATCCCCAGCCCAGCCTTGAATCTCTTATTCCCAGAAAATCCATTTTAAGTACAAAAACATGAAGAAGTAGTGAAAGAAAATAACAAAGAATGGCAAAGATGTGTAAGGTCTTTAAATGCCCCACAGACTATATTAGCTAATAAAATAGAGAATTCTTGAGAACAAAAATAGAATTAACATAGAGTTTAGGTATTCTGTCAAAAATTATGACATTCAAGGTATCAAGTAAATGAGGACCACCCATTCCCAGGTAGTTTTGAATGCATTTTCTATAAAATGTTCTTATTTGTATACAATGTTAATGGCCTAGGCATTTCTTATGGCTCTTCTATATTTAATCTAGATGTCTAGAACAGTTACAGATTAACTTCAGTTTATAATAAGAGAATACCTTTCTTTTACAAAAGCATTTTAACTAGTCTTCTGTTTAATGATCTACAAAGCAAATAATGCTTTCCTCCAGAAGAGACAGAATATAGTCAACAAAATACATTCCCCAGGCTGGGGATGTGGCTCAAGCCGTAGCGTGCTAGCCTGGCATGCGTGGGTTGCTGGGCTCGATCCTCCGCACCACATAAAAATAAAATAAAGATGTTGTGCCCACCGGAAAAAAAAAATACATTCCCCTACTCCTCCAGCACATATATCTATTTGCAAGACATAAAAGATATTAATTTAGCCTGATCTAATCAAAAGAGCACAGAACTGAATCAACAGACCAGGACAGTAATCCCAGCTCAGCTTTTAATAAAAAAGCAAGGGATATAGGACTAGGGTGTAGCTCAGTGGAGTATTTGCCTAGCATGTGCAAGCCCTGGGTTCAATCCCCAGAACCGCAAAAACGAATGAAGAAATCAAAAATATAAGAATTATAGAATACTGAAAACTGGCTTTATGCATCATATATAAACTGGAATAAAAACAATGACTGCCTATACCTAAGAGTTAGCTAGAAGTTTAATTATATTTAATTATCTTTTAACAGTTCCAGTACACTGTCTAGCTAAAAGGTTACATTTAATTAAAACATTAAGCATTCATCAAGATGGCCAAAATTAATATCCTTGTGCCGCTATTAATAAGCCATTATACCCTTTAGCAAAATAGAGTACAAAGCAAAGACAGAAGGCAACAAGTCCTAATGATAAGGCTGGATAACAGAACTCTTCTTTTCCCTGGTTTTGTAGACCTACTAACTGTTGTGGTCTTTTTATTCATTTTCCATTCTTTAGCATTTTCCTTAAAATTGAGTATGATACACCTTACTCCTGTCTACATCCTCCTACACAAAATGAAATCCTGAGTTATAATCGCAACCTGTTATTGCTTTCATATTTAGTTGGAAGAAAAGCCCACATTTTTTTTGACCCTGCCTTTACAGTTAACAATTCTCATGGAAACTGAAAACTCACTATTTTAAACTATCAATCTTGAGTTTATCATGACAAGTATCTAGTTGCCCATCTTGATTTCTCTATACTGTCTTTAGACCCACAGTCTGTGCTGAATCAAGAGTCTATTAATAAGTTCCTCTATCCCATCCTAGAATCAATGGACCAAAAGCATTTTTACTTAGCATTACACACAGTGACCAAGGCCATAGGAACACAAAATCAACACTACCAACAAAAACCCTAAACAAACCCACTCAAGCAAGCTCATACTAGAAAATCTGTTCGGTGACTATGTTTTTTAAAACAACAACAACAAAAAAAAAACACTTTGATTTTTGTCATTTGCTTATAATGCTATGAACACCACAATGTTTGTACTGAAATACAAAATTTGAAATACTTATCGTGTCTATGACTTAAAATTCATATGAGGTGAGATATACATATTTGGATACTCACTTGTTCTAACTTAAAGATATGCTGATTAAAGTAGTGCTGTAAACGTTCATTAGCAAAATTAATACAGAACTGTTCAAAACTATTATTTTCATAATCTTCAAACCCAAATATATCAAGAACACCAATGGACAAAGTCTGTAAAACAAGAGAAAATTCTGGTTTAAAAAGGCTCAAATTTACTTAAGTATTTAAGTAAAATACAATATTAATAACAAAATGCTCATTTATAAAGCAGTAGAGAGGGGATTGTTTTTCACAATATTGAAGCAAAATATACCACAATTAAGAAGTATTTTAATTCTCTTTATTTTATTTTTGTCCAAATCATAAAAATATATCTATATTTTTAATGAGTGTAATCCATTCTTAACACATTTTATCATAACAATAAAAATAGATCAAAGTTTTAACACATGTAGCTGGGTGTAATGACACAGACCTGTAATCCCAGCAACTCAGGAGGCTGAAGCAGGAGGATAGCAAGTTCAAAGCCAGCCTCAGCAACACAGCGAGGCTCTAAAGTAACTTAACAAAACCCTATATCTAAATAAAGAAAAATATTTTAAAAAGGGCTGAGGATGTGGCTCAGTGGTTAAGTGCTCTGGGTTCAATCCCTGATACAACAAAACAAAAATTAACACATGTAATTTTGGCATCACATTACAGAAATACATAAAGCACAGGCCAGAGATGGAGCTCAGTGGTAGAGGACATGCCTAGCATGAAAGAGGACCTGGGTTCAATTCCTAGAACCTTAAAAAAAAAAAAAGAATGTACAAAGCACACAGCTAGCAAAAGATTATCATAATTGAAAAAAATAAAAGAAGTTCTTAAACTTGGAAAACCCTGAGTTTCAAAAGAGAATGGAAACAGCAGCTACAAAAAAAAAAAAAAAAATCAAGATTACTAAAGTGAAGGATCAGCAGAAGCCAGGTAATCTTGGCAATGCCAAGAAAACCATGTAATTTTTCCTATTTTAACTTCTATTTCCCAATAAATGGAGGTCTACTATAAAAACTAAAGTAACAAGTTTATTAATCAGCCTTATCCAGGCTAAGAATGAAACAAGATATAAAAGCATGTAGTTTCATAAAGTTAAAATTAAGTATTACTTTAACAAAAAATACAAAGTTTAAAATGTTGACTAGCTCAAAATAGACTATAATAAAACAGCAATCCTTTCCTCATTCTCAATATCTGCTCCCTAGAGTCAACATTCCAATCTTGGTAGAGTACACAAGAGATTATTCTTTCATTTTTTTGAATATTTTACTTTTTCAATTCTAGAAATCATACGTAACTTTTTTCCACACCTGACTCCTAGAACTTATTCTATATAACTTCTTACTGTGATTGACACAGATTCAGCTCTAATCCCTGTATATAAACATCCATCTCACCACTTTATCGCATTCTTGAAACACTTGTTATGACAATTTGGTTAACTGAAAATAAGTTTTCTCCACTGCAACTAGGAAATGTACCAGACAAACTAATATAGTGAATGATAAATTATAAGATATTTCAGAAGTCTGTACTAGGAGTATTTTAATTCTATTGATTAAGTCTACGTCCTTAAGAAATATTAAAATAATGCCCTTCAAAATGAAGTCAATTTGATAAATCAGATTGCAATTCAAATTAATTTTATAGCTGTGGGCTTACTTAAACCATGAACATTTAAGAGCAAATTTACCTTTAAAACAGTAAGATTAAACTAAAGCTGACATTTCTAATCAGTTTGAAAAAGGAGACTATTTCATAAAGGTTTTTGAAAAAAGTGAATCAGAACTGACTGAAGTTAACTACCACTAATCTGCCACATTAAAAACAAGTTCCAACTGGAAAAGAAGTCTGAACATAAAAACTGAAATTCTAAAAGTATAATGCTAAATATTTTTAAATCTTGGACTAGAAGAGGCCTTCCTATATAAGTAAAATAAATACATAAAACCCAGGACTAGAAAGGAAAAAAATGACAGGATTAACTGTGCAAAAACTTAAAACACAGGCATAGAAATACACAACATAACAAACCTTAAAAGTCAAGTAATTGGGCTGGGGTTGTGGCTCAGTGATAGAGCACTTGCCCAGCACAGGTGAGGCCATGGGTTTGATCCTCAGCACCACATAAAAAAGTAAAAAAATAAAATAAAAATTAAATTCTGGGAAAAAAAAAAGTTAGGTAACTAAAAAAGAGAAGATATATTGTATATATCAAGTTGAGTCTCCATAATGTCCACAATAAATAGCTCCTAAAAAGGAGTAACAAAAAGAAAAAAATAAACATCAGAATAGCACAAAGATATAAAAAAATAATACAGAAAATAAACTAGAGAAAACAAAATGAGGCATTCAACTTTCCGCCCCCAGTGCTGGGCACTGAACAGGACCTGATGCATGCAAGGCAGGCATTATTCCTCTGAGCCACATCTCCAGGACAGGAAGGCACTCAACTTTCATCACTGGAAACAATGAAAAAAAGTGGGAAATTCCTCTCTTCATAATCAGATTACGTAAATATTGATAATACCCAATATGGATAAAAGTGTAGGGTAACAGGCACTTTGATATACTGCTGGTAGAAGTATACAATTCTTTTTGAAAAGCAATTCAGCAGTAGCTGCCAAATCTTTAAAATACATATATCCTTAAATACAGCAATTTGACACTGAGGAATGAATCCTAGAGAAAGGTACATAGAGTTAAGTAAAATATTATTTGTTATGGTATTATTTATAACAAAAATTACTTATTTTAATGAGATTTATTTTACACATCATACCATATATTTCAAAATTACGGAAAATAATGAGGTCCAGACATATAATGACATGGAATGTACATAAAGAGACTTTATGTTAAAAAATAGTTTGCAAAAATATAGATAGAATGGTTGTATTTATATTTTAAAAAACAATTCTGTATGTGTATGTTTTCAATATGTAAATACACAGGGAAAAAAGATCTGGAAAGACACACAGAACAGTTCCTCTGAAAAGGGTAATAAATAACAGAAGTAAAAACAATACTATACTCTAACATGAATGAGTCAATCCCACAAATCCAAAGGCCAAATGTTTTCTCTAGCATTCAGATGCTAATTCACAATAAGGCAGGGGGGGACCCTAGAGAAGAATCGCATTACCTTAAATTAGGTAGAGGGAAGTGGCTGGAGGAGAGCAGAGGGGAGGTGGGGATAGGAAAGATAGAATGAAATAGACATTATTACTGTATGTGTATATATATATATATGACTACATGACTAATATAATTCTGTAACATGTACACTCAGAACATGTACATTATATCCTATCTATGTATGATACATCAAAGTGCATAAATGCATTCTACTGTCATGTATACTAATTAAAACAAATTAAAAAATTAAACAAAAACAATACTATACTACTATACATAATTCTGTGCTTTAAAATTTCATGTATTAACCAGTTTATTAAAACAGTTTTCTAGGGAAAACATAACCCAACATATTTTTACCTTGGTATTTCGCTCCAAATCTTTACTATTCAGAAGTGCATGATTAATTCGAAAAACTATCCAGTCAAACAAAGCACTATACAAAGACTTAGCCATGGAGTTCCTCACGGTCACAGCCTGCAAAACAAGAAAAGGGTTGTGAGTGCAAAATAATAATCTGACTAAGATACTACAACAAAGTATACTCTGCTCTCATTCAGGGGAAAAAAAAAAAAAACTTACTATATTGAATAAAAGCTAATTTTTCTCTCAATATAAATAGCTTATAATTGAAATTTTCCATATGTACTCATTAATTTAGTCCAACTCAGGGAATCCAGGCTAAAATTACCATAATATAGAAATAAAACTAGGTCATCCACAGTTCAAAATATTTTTACTGAAAATTAGGGTATATATTTCCCCTAGGAACAAAAGTATAATGGAAAGTTTACAAACAAATGACCTTACCAGAAGAATATTCAAGGCAGAGAAATAAATCTGAGAGCAAAAAAGGAATTAATGCCTGTGGAATCCTTCTCACACTGTAAAGCATATATGTACTACCATCACAGTACCATTCACAGTTGTCTTCAGCTCATCATCCACAATAACCTCTAGAAGTATTTCATACCCAGAAATAGTAACAACTGCCTACTTCCAGATTTCTCTAGTTTACGGAAATTCTTCTGTACTATCTTTTTGTAAGATTGAAATTTTTATAAAAACAGAAGTCTATTTTTTCAAAAAAGGTATATATCTTATAGAATTGAATCCTGTCCATTAGAAGACTACAAATCCCAATAATTTATGCATATATATTATGTAGGGATTTATTTTGAAAACTGTATATTCAGGTATACACTCAGAAATGTATATTACATCTCTGCTTTGAAGTACAGAAGAAACAGTATGATTGAGAATTACACTGTCGGGACTGGAGTTGTGTGTGACTCAGGGGTAGTTAAATTTTATTTAACTTGTCTGGCATGTGTGAGGCCCTGGGTTCGATCGTCAGCACCACATATAAATAAATAAATGAAATAAAAGATTCATTTACAATAAATAAATAAATGCACTATTTTCTGATCCTCGTATCTTTATTTATTCTAGCTGCATTGACCATGGTCATGACACTTCAATTTTTAGGCTGCAGGATATACATCCATAAATTGGAGATTTACAGATACTATATACAACCTACGAATTAATTTCAATTATTATAAGTGTTCTACTGTATAAATCATTCTGAAATTTGACTTTTTAATTTCATATTATATTTTGGAGATTTTTCAACTCTGATTTATATATTCTAGTTTCTTCTGGAAGGGAAAGAGAAGACTGGTATCAAATTAACTACAAAACTAGAAATTTAAAAAGTAAATGAAAATTCTTTTAACAATTTTGAGAAAAAGCTATGTCATCTTAAAATTCTACATCTTGAAAAATTATCAAAGAAGAAAACCAAAAAGCAAAATGTATACAGCATAATAGAATAACATGCAATTTTCTCCCATAGGGATAAAAACAATCTTTGAAAGAGAAGGAATCTTGCCAGTTGCCACAACATGAATGAATGTACCTGGAGGACATTATGCAAAGTGAAATACCAAAGAACAAATGCAGAATGATCCCAGTTATGTGAGATTACTAAAGTAATCAAACTCATAGAAGCAGAGTACAGAGCAGTGGATACCAGAAACAGGAAAATGAGGGAAACATGGAGATGTGAAAGGATACAAAGTTACATTTACATAGGACAAGTAAGTCTGAGATCTAACATACAACATGATGACTATAGTTAATAGTATTGTATTGCATATTGGAAGTTTGCTAAGAGAAGAGATTTCAGATTCTCTCACCACAAAGAAAAGATAGATATGTGAGAAGACAGATATGTTAATTTGCCTGACTGTAGTAACAACTTCACTATGTCTATGTACATCAAAACTTTATATTGAATACTTTAAACATACAATAAATATTGAAGCTAATAAAAATGAAGATAATCTGATCAAACTCAACAAAAACTAAAATATTTTAAGATTAAATAAATAAGCATAAAACACAGAATATAAGGATGTGTTATTACAATAAATTTTATGAACACATTTTACCTAAAAAACTTTCAAATTAAAACTAAAACCTACCCACTTGTTTATAAATATCATTTTTATAAAATACCATCACTATACAGAACCCAGATCCGCTAATAAATATCTATTTATTCCATATCTCTCAATTTTTATTGCCTTTTTCTCAATGTAGTCCTACCTATATAACTTAACCTAAATAAAGCACAAATACTACATAGTATTTCCCACCAAAGCAAGATTTCACTTAGTGATTCCTATCTTACTAAAGAATACCAATATTCTTAGTTATTCAAGCCTGAAACTTGGAACTCATTTTTTTACATCTCCTTTTTCTTTCTGCCCTAATTCAAGTCATAACTAAGTCCTCTTGATTTTACCATATTGTTTCTATTGGCATGTTACCATTTCTTGCAGAGCAAAAATCTTTCTCCATACTACTACACTCTCTGAACTCTGTTCTACATCAACTCTTGCAGAATCTTAAATAGATAAAATAGCCTAAATAGTCCTAAAATAGCCCCCAAAATGCCTTTTCCCTGGAGTCCATGTTCTGTATAATATCTTCCCTCACTTAAGTATAAATTATAAATATAATGGATTTCTCACCTACATTTAATTTATGTTACATTATGAAGGTGAAAGGATTTTAAAGATATAATTAAGGGCCCAAATCAGCTGATTTTTTTAGTTATTCCAAAGTAATAGGTGGGCCTGGCGTACAAAACAATCTTTTTTTTTTTTTATATTTTTTTAGTTGTAGGTGGACACAATACCTTTTTATTTTATTTATGTGGTGTATAGGATTGAATCCAGGGCCTCACACATGCGAGACAAGTGCTCTACCGCTGAGCCATAGCCACAGCCACAGCCCATACAAAACAGTCTTAAAAAGGGACTGGGACCCTGTATCAGAGATTCTCCTACTGGCAATGAAGAAACAAACTGCCATGTTGTGGATAGAGCCACATGGCAAGAAACAGCGAGCAACTTTTAGTTGCTGGTAACAACACCTGCCTGACAGTCAACAATAAGTACCTTAGTCCTATAATCACAAGAAACTAAATTCTGTCAACAGTCTAAATTTGGAAGAGAGCCTTAAGCATCAGATGAGGTCACAGCCCTGATGGACATCTTGATTTCAAACTAGTGCCTAATTAATCTAAGCCCAGAGTCATGACTCTTGAAACTGCCAAAATAATAATCTATATTGTATTAAGTTGCTAAGTTTCCTACACAGTTATAGAAAACTAACATTCCCTCCAAATGAATTCTTCAAATTGCCAAAGTGCTCCTTAAAAAAAAAAAAAACAGTCTTAAGAAAACTTTTTTCTTAAAACACTTAACAGTATTTCCATTTTCTTCAAGTAAAATACTAAAACATTTAAGAAATGCTTCCCATTTCAAAACTACTAATGGCTAGCACATTTCTGAGCACTGGGTGTTTTCAAATATTTATCAAACGAATAATACACCAAACAAGCATAAATAAAAATAAAAGGTTTTTTAACTCAGAAGTTGAATTTAAAGGTAAAATATAAAGAAATTTTTTGTAATAAAAAAAAGTTTACAAAATATAAAAGCACCAAACATTTTAGAAAAAAAGGCAAAACTCTTAAAGGTTTGGGTTTTTTTACTATTTAGAAAGGAGCTATCAGAGTAGGAAACCGTAAGATATGACATAAGAAAAAATACAGACTCAGAGACATAGTTAAGAGGAACCCAAAAGAAGGATAAATGATCAATGTTAGCCTAAAAAAAAATTCTCCAAGGCCCAAAAACAATTTTTTCACTTGTGTTATCTTCTCATCTCACTCATATACTATTTTATAGTTTTTCATCACCTTCATAAAACTCCTCTGTATCAATGGATTTTCAATAATTTTCTTATTTATCATTTAGAAATGAAGGGTTTCCCAAAGGTTCACGTATGAAGGATAGAGTCCCCAATTCAGCAATGTTTCAGAGATGGGGCTGCTAGAAAGTGACTGAATGATGCGTGAATCGATCCATTGATAAATTCATAATTTGGTGGCATTATTGGGAGATGGTATAAACTATAAGAGGTAGGGACTAAGTGGAAGAAGTCACAGGGTTGGGGGTAGGTTCTGAAAGGGTATATTTTGTCTCAAGCTGCTGCTTCTTTCTCTGTGCTTCCAAGGTGCCAAGAGGTAAGCAACTTTCCCCCACTGGAGGCCCAAACCAATAGAGTAGACCAACCAAGAAATAAAACCTCTGAAATCATGAGCCAAAATAATTTTTTCTTCCTATAAGTTATTTTCTCAGGTATTTTGACACAGCAACAAAGAGCTGACTAACACACTATCCTATACACTTAGTATGGTAATAAACACAAATTTCATCTGGCAAATTATACGGATGTTATTTAAAGCCATAAGAGTGAGATAATGTAGATAAAGAATACAGAGAAGACAAAGGTTGTGTCCTACCTAGTGTACCCACCTTTTTGGAGGTTAAGAAGAAAAGAAAAAGCAAGCAAAAAGAACTACAAATACGGGGCCCACCACAAAAAAGTAACCCAGCAAAGTATAATGTGCTAGAAAGTAACCGGAAAAAATGAGGTCTCAAGAAGGAATAATCAATGAGATCAAACAAACACTAATAATTTACAATTCTACCTACTATCTGTCTACCTCATATTAATAATATTAAACTTAATGCTGTTTTTTAAAAAAAATGTAAAAGACTTATTCTTCAAATTCTTTCCTTTTCACAAAAGGATCAAGCTGTGAAAAAACTAATAAAAATTTAGAGAAATTTTTAAAAATATGAAACTTAAGAATGATGAAAAATTTAAAAAGAACAGTGAAGAAAGATCCTTGGGGAAAAAAATTTAAAGCTCCTACTTAAAATCACATTCAGTTTCTATGTGAATGGAAAATTCATGATCAAATTTCAAGGGCCTAGAAAATGTGTCAGTAAACAGATTTTTTAAATTGTCATTTTAATTTTGTTAAGAGGAAAAACACAAACTCCTAAGAATGTCTAGAATGCTTTGATTTCAAAGAAAACCATACCTCTGCCAACTTGTATGGTAAAATAAGCTTCTCTCCAACTGTCACCGTCTTTCTCGTTACTAATGCTTCAAATAGCATCTCTTCTTTAACCTATACATAAAAAAGTAAATTCAATATATGATATTTATGACAAAGTTGAATTATTTTATTGAAAAGCCAACAGAGGAAAAAATATTATATTATATGGGATCAGCAAATATACAATAGAGAAAAAAGGAAATCCAAGAAAAATACCAGCAATTTGAACATTGGTCAAAGTAGAATTTAACTTGTCTCACTCACTCCCATTACCCCCACTAAAAACCAAAACAAGGTAGATGAGATAAACAGGTCTTTTTAAAATTTGCTTTCTGAGCGTAACAGAAAATAAGTTTATTATGCAAAATATAGAAAATATAGAATAGTAATAAAAAAAGTTTTATTTAAAACAATCAATCACAATACCACAACTGGAGACAAGGATGAAAAATAGTACTTCTTGAATTTCAGGAAGGTTCTCAAAAAGCCCTTATTTATGTTTCAGATGTTTATTTTTATCTATGGATATTAAACTTTAAAATAAAGTTGACACTCCCATTGTTGTCACTCACTTTGTCTCCCAGAGGTAATTACTATCATGAATTTGACATGTATCATTTTGGTTTTTGTTTTTATACTTTTATATGTATTAAATGTATTCATAAACATGATGGTATACTATCAAATAAATTTAACTCTTCTGTATGGTAGCATATTACCATATGTTTTTGAGATATAATTATGTTTATAATTTAGATTAAGCTTACTCACTTAATTGCTATATAGCATACCAATAATACCTGTGTGTAATACGGTCTTCTATTTATCGTAATTATAATCACATTTACACTCTTTTCAATTTTGCACAACTGGAAAATACACTACAATGAATATTCCTGCATATGAATTCAAGAGTTCCTGTAATGAACAAACTTAAAAATAAAATTATCAGTTTATAAGATACTCATTTTCAGCTTTACAGGATATTACCAAACTCCTATATGTAATTTTTACCAATGTGCTCTCTGAACAGTAACACTGAAAGCTCCTATTTCCTCAAACCTTGACTATATTTGATTTTATCAGGCCTTTAAATTTTATAACACTGAGGATGATAAAATGATAAAACAAAGATATTTTATAAAAGCATGAATATGTAATGAAAATATTACATTCATAAAAATTTATGGAGACAACATAATATCAAACCATGTCAAGCAAAATAATGTTACATTATAAGGAAAAGCTGAGTTATAAAATCATAGAAGGAAGTATTATCCCCACTATCAGCAATTTATGTCATTTAAAAAAATCCTTTCACAGCTATTTAAGTACTGGGGAATGAACCCAGGTGCACTTTACCACTAGGCCACATCCCCAGTCCATTTTATTTTTTAAAACAGGATTTTGTTAAATTGTTGAGGCTGGCCTTGAACCTGAGTCAATGGAATTACAGGCATGTACCTATCACTAAACTTGGCCATGAAAGGATAATTTTGAACCATATTCAACAGGAAAGTATCTGGCAAATATAACACCATAAAAATATGTATAATGCCCTCTTTTAAAGTATCCATTGCTCAATTCTCAAATTTCAAAAACTGCAAATAATTTGAGGCACATTACCTTCACAAAATACAGTAAAACTAAAAATGCACAATGAAGTTTAAATACAATGCACCCAACCTAATAGATATATTTAAAATACTTTGAAAAATGCAAATAATACTGGGTTTCAAAAAATAACAAAACTAAGACAGGTAAGAAGAAACATATGCAAGAAAAAAACAAAGGTATATTATATGGTACATTTCTACAATTATTCAAAATAAATATTTAAAAATAGGTGACAGTATATATCAGTGGTAGAGCACAGGCTTACAGCATGTAAAGTGGCCCTGGATCCCCAACTCCACCACCACCAACAAAAAAATCTATGCTGTAGATTCAAGAAATCTTTTTAAAGAATAAATATTTATTAGTAGAAAATTCAACAAGCTCAATCCCCACTAACAGAAAAAATATAAATTGTGTTTTATCAATGAAATCTTAAGAGTTAAAAGAACCTAGAATATATAAATCAGAATTGAAAAATCTCAAAAATATAATATCAAATTAAAACATCAAATTTCAGAATGATTTTTTTCAGTAGAGCATTTATAATAAAGTCTGAAATTTTCACATAAAAGAAAAAATTAAGAGAAACATATGGGTAATAATGAGTGTAATGCATTCCACTATTGTCATGTATTTTTAAAAAATTTTTTAAAAAGAGACAAACAAAATTCAAAGAGAAAAAATTCAAATTAATAATTTTAAAACAATAATTTTTAAAAGAGAAACAAAATTCAAAAAGAGAAAAAATTTCAAATTAATAAGATATTTATAAGGAAATCAAAAATAATTAATTTTAGATGTCTAACATATGATTTCTTAGAAAAATAAAAATTATTAAAATAATTCACATCAGCTTTGAAAAGTAATAAAAAATTCATTAACATGGAACAAATGGGAAAAGCATCCAATAAAACTCTCATAAGGTTGATCTCTCAAACCTTTCAAGAACACACTATTGATCCTTCTTTTAAAAAAAGGAAAAAGAATGAAAATGACCTAAGTCATTTTGGTGAATTGGCTTTTCTGCTGGCACTAAAGCCTGACAGAGATAATACACAGATCTATACACATGTACAACCACAGAAAACACATTAATCTTATTTTATTTGGTAAGCGTCCTAAAGAAAATATTAATAAATTCATGATATTTGAATCAGCTACCTCTAAAATTTCCTAAATATTTTGTTATACACATATGACTTTCAAAATTTTTACGTTATCAATACAAACCCAACACCAATAGATTCACTATTCAATGTACAAAATTTCATGTTTATCTAACTGAAAAACTGTATGTAAATTAAAAACCCGTTCTTTATAATATTTGAGCAGATATTAAAATATACTCAAGATACAAAATCTGATAAAAAATCTGAACAGCTTTTGGTAATGATGATGGTTCTAAAAAAAAAAAATCCTCCATAATTACAATAAATCTACTGGAGATTTTTCACATTTCACTTAATCTCACCAGCAAAATCTATCCAAATAGGCTTTGTATACACAAGAATAAAAATATTCACTGCTGCATGAGAAAACAAATTTAAAAACTAGAAAAAGTAAAATTAAATCACTACCTTTAAACTATTCTTCAAAATTACCTATGTTTATCACTGAACTGAATCACTTTAGGAAAATGGGAAATTATAATAAATTTTAACTAAGGAGCTTAAATTTTAAGTTAAGCCAGTTCACCAAAGCTTTAAGGCTTCAATTATTATCAATCTTAAACAACTAGTGGCAATCAATTTTTAAAATAATTTCTAAGAGGGGCTGGGGATGTGGCTCAAGCGGTAGCGCGCTCGCCTGGCGTGCGGGCGGCCCGGGTTCGATCCTCAGCACCACATACAAACAAAGATGTTGTGTCCGCCGAAAACTAATAAATAAGTATTAAAAAAAAAATTTAAAAAAAAAAAATAATTTCTAAGACCTAATTACAGGCAGTATATCATGGTAGACAAATTTGAAGCTATTTTCTTTCTATTTAATACCAACCTTCAGTCCTAGAACTAGTCCAAAGTACACAAAAGAATAAATTTAAGTAGTTTGTATTAAGTAGTTTGGTTAAAAGTAAGATCTGCTATCAAATCACATCTTTGATACTGGTAATTCCAATTCTCAGAATTTGATTTCTCCTTTTTCTTTGAAGTTGTCTGGACTAACTTATCAGTGTCTCACCAGAAAAGGAATAATTCACTAGGTCTAGAATCTCTGATACTTGCTGAAGGCCTGGATATAAATAACATCAACCAGTCATATTGTCCAGTATTATAACACCACCAAATGCTTGACCAAAATATCACCTGAAGTGCCTGATTGAAATATTCTTTGTTCTCTGACCTTCAGACCTTCAAAATTATAATCTTATGGCACCACAGTCCATCTCCCCATAAAAATTCTTTCCAATGAGTGAGTCTAGTTCCAATTTAAGATACTCCCTTTGCCTGCCCCTATCTCCAGGATGTCATTTCATTATAACTAAAAGCAATGCCCAGTCATGTGTCGTGCTGTGCTTACATAAATAGGAAAGAGGCATCCACGGTTCTCCAAGAGCACTGCAGCCTTCTAATGGACACAACTAGAAAACAATTAACTTTATACTACAAAACCCAAACTATACCAACTAGAAGGAGATGTTCTATGTATAGGGAGTTGGTTTAGACTACTTAATAAGTTTACTCTCAATGAAGTAGCAAATGAACCAAGATTTGAAAATATTAATATTTCAACTTCTAAAAGGCACAGTAAGCTATAATTTCTAACTGCCAAAAACTGTAAATAAAGAAGACAACTAACTCCAATAGGTGAATGGATAAACATACTGCAGTATACCCACACATACAATGGAATATTACCCAGAGGTAAAAAGAAATGAACTATCAAGCCACAAAAAGACAAGGATGAATCTTAAAACACCTATTACTAAATAAAATAAATCATTCTGAAAACCTATATGCTCTATCATCCCAATTACACCACAATTACATTATATTACATTCTGTTAAGAACAAATTTATACCACCAGGAAAATGATCAGAAGTTGTTACCAACTTAGAGAGAAGAGTTGAATAGGTGAAGTACAGAGAAATTTTTAGACCTGTAAAACTATTCTGTATAACATTATAATGGGGATACCTGGCTTCATGTCCTAGTCAAACCCATTCAGCACAGAGTAATGTATGTAAATTTCTTTAATTATCAAGACATTAGGAAATTCCAGGAAAGACCATGACAAGAGACTTTACTAACTATATGACAAATATAAGAAAAAAATCTCAAGAAAGAAGATAGGAAAAGATGACAATCTAAGCAACTTTAGAAACTAGTGGAATCTCTAGGACTAAAGACAAAAAGAACTGTCCATAGGCACTATACTCAATTTGAGAAAGTTATTTCCCACAAATAACTACTACAAAAGAACATTGTTAACTGCACATTTATGGATGGCAGAGGGTATAAAAAGGTTTCTCATTGTTTGAGGAGAGTTAACAGATATGCAAGGTGAGAGAATAAATGATTCATGTAGGAATGGATTTTTAGAAACTTCAGTATGAAGTCATGCTTAGCTTTATATAGATGCAGTGGATTACATATAGAAATATTTAAAGATATGTGTATATACACAAGTTAGAATATACATATATTTTTCCTTGATCTGTCAGATGAGAGGGTCTGTATGTAAGAAACAACATTCCATCTTATAGGGTGAATCTGAAAGATGAGTAGAAGATGAGAACATTCAAATTATATTCAACCCATTAAGAAAAAAGCAGTTATCTTTACTCACCTACCCCAAAACCCCATTTTTAAGTAAAATAATCTAACCAAAATCTTCACTATGAGAAGAAAAATCTCAGATTTGGAAAAAGCAAAATAAACATAAATTTTTCCACAATCTTATAAAGTCTAGAGTAGAAATATTCATCCTATCTAACAAATTGAGCAATTATAAATGTGTGCAGCAAGCAGAGGCAGAGGAGAAAACACAACTGTCTATAAATTCTGGCACACTCAATAGTAAAGTAAGGCAGATGTCAGGAGAATCTCCATCTTTTAGAAACACTATTAAGAAAGAATATCTAATAAAATCATTAATAAAAAGCATTAATCCACATATATCTGTAAAATAGTTATACAAAAAAGAATTTTACATTCTAAAATTCTTGCTAATTGAAAATGTCATCACTCACTTCTAGTAATTCTGATACAACAGGCAGAACTTCAGGATTACAGATATCAATGGAGTCATCCCGGTATGTCTTCTTTTTATAGCAGATATTACCCAAATGTAGTATTGCTGAGAGGAGAGAGAATATCCTGTAAAAATAAAAACACAACTTACAAATTGAAAATGTGCATTCTCAAAGCTTGTTTCATTTTAAAATTCTTGCTAAGCAAAATACCAGTACAAATAGTTTTCAGAAAAACAAGAAACATGAGAATAACTACAAATAAATCAAAAGTCACTGTTTACTGCAAAGTGCTATACATGACCTTAGTTCCAGTATTATACCATTTGTTATGTAGTTGTTTCAAGAGATTTCTTTTTTTTTTTTTTTTTTTACATTTGAATCAGATGGGATATAATTTCTCATTTTTCTGAGTGTACAGGTTGCAGAATCACATTGGTCATGCAGTCACATATGTACACACAGTAATAATAATGTCTATTTCATTCTACTATCCTTCCTTTCCCCCATCCCCTCCCCTCCCCTCACTTCTCTCTACCCAATCTAAGGTGACACTATTCTTTTTTTTTTTCCTTACATCTTCATACATGTATTTTATATAACGATGAGGATCTCCTTCCACCTTCCATGCAATTCCCCTTTCCCTCCCTTTCCCTCCAACCTCTCTTCCCTATCTAGAGGTAATCTCTTCACATGCTCCTCCTCCTCCCTACCCCATTTTGTGTCACCCCCCCCCTTATATCAGAGAAGACATATGGCATTTGTTTTTCTGGGATTGGCTAACTTCACTTAGCATAATCTGCTCTAATGCCATCCATTTCCCTCCAAATGCCATAATCTTATTATTTTTTGGTGCTGAGTAATATTCCATTGTGTATATATGCCACATTTTTTTATCCATTCATCCACTGAAGGGCATCTAGGTTGGCTCCACAGTCTAGCTATTGTTAATTGTGCTGCTATAAATATTGATGTGGCTGTGTCCCTGTAGAATGCTGTTTTTAGGTCTTCTGGGTATAGACTGAGAAAAGGAATAGCTGGGTCAAATGGTGGTTCTATTCCCAGCTTTTCAAGGAATCTCCATACTGCTTTCCAAATTGGCTGTACCAATTTGCAGTCCCACCAGCAATGTATGAATGTACCTTTTTCCCCCACATCCTCGCCAGCACTTGTTGTTTGACTTCATAATGGGTGCCATTCTTACTGGAGTGAGATGGTATCTTATAGTAGTTTTAATTTGCATTTCTGATTGCTAGAGATGATGAGCATTTTTTTGTGTATTTGTTGATTGACTGTATATCATTTTCTGATAAGTGTCTGTTCAGGTCCTTGGCCCATTTGTTGACTGGGTTATTTGGGGTTTTTTGGTGTTTAGCTTTTTGAGTTCTTTGTATACCCTAAAGATTAGAGCTCTATCTGATGTATAAGGGGTAAAATTTTGTTCCCAGGATGTAGGCTCCCTATTCACCTCACATATTGTTTCTCTCAAGAGATTTCTTGCCTGAAATTGTTATAGTATTTTAACAAGTCCATGTGTTTACAAATACTGTTGTTTCTGTCTGGAATGCATTTTCCCCATACTATTTTAGAAACACTGAAACAAAATCTCTGAAGGAAAGGCCTCAGAATTTGCATTTTTATCAGTTATCTGTGGCTATTTTTTTATGATTAATCATGTTTTAAAATGCTTTTTCTTTGTTAAGTATGAGGCCAGAGTGGTATATTATCTAATAATTAGACCCCTTTGTGAAATACTCTAAACTGGATCCTCTCTCGTGTGCCTAGTTCCTATATCAGAGGAACATATTCCTCCAGTAAATAATCAATTCATCTACCTTTGCACTATTATCCCATTGACCCCAGTTAACTCTCTCTCACCCGAACTAGAAGAACTTTCTATCAAAATACTCTCATTTTTATCTTTCTCTTATTTTAAATAAACTGCTGAGATTCAACATGTTCTTCTCTTCAAAGTAAGCTTAGTAAAATATTAAATCACTTGTTTTCACCTTGTTACTCCTACTTAGTACCACATTTGGCATCTTCTACCCCCTAATATATCTCAGAGGTTACCAAGGACTTCCACACAGCTAGGAAGAGATATGAGATTATCTGACATTTCAGAGGCATTTAACACAGCTAATCACTTCATTTAAAAGCCCTTTCTGAATCTCTTAAATACATATAACTTTGTACCTTTACCAGTTGAAAATAACTACTTGTCTTCCTAAAATTAGGAAGTATTCTAAATAAAGCAAAAATATTGCTTTAGGAACCAGATATACTTTGAATCAACATCTAGTTCATGAGTCTAATTTTTCAAATAACATAAAATTTTTAAATGTTTGAATCACTCTCATGATTCAAAGAAAATATACATTGTAAAGGAATAATTCATTAAAGTTTACTGAAATAAAGTAGAAAATAAACTCAATATCAACAGAAACATAAAAACTAATGCAAGTCAGGCAGCCTCAGCAAAGAGGGGGATGCCAGGCAACTCAGTGAGACTCTTTTTCTAAGTAAAATACAAAATAGGGCTGGAGATATGGCTCATTGTCAAGTGCCCCTGAATTCAATCCCCATGACTAAAAAAAAAAAAAAACTAATGGAGGTCAAAAAACATAACAAATTCACGACCCACTTTTTCAACAATTATTTTTAGTGGTAGTTTATATGGTAGCTAACTATATTGTTTCCACATCTGGGATTTAATAATCAGCACATTAATGCTCTCCCACACAAATATGTGATCCATCAACAATTATGTCATATAAGTAATCCAAAGCACTATAAATCAACATAAAAAATATTTTAAAACATGAACAAAAATCCCTGTTTTCAAAAAGTACTTTTCTTGGTGGTGGTGCTGGAGATTGAACCCAAGGACTTGTGTAAGCGAGGCAAGCACTCTACCAACTGAGCTATATATCCCCAGCCTCAAGAATATAACCTTACATTAGGTGATGGCAGTAAATAACTATACTATAGGTCAGATATTTTTAAAATACAGAAGGTAATAACAAAGCACAATTATGGAAATTTTTCATTCAAAAAAGGCAGGACATGAACAGAGCTTTAAAGAAAACAAGTTTCAATTTGCATATCAAAATTAAATTGTGTTTTGTTGTCAGGTATGCATAACAGTAAGATCACTGATACAGAAAAAGAGGAGTTATAAAAGTAGCATTATACAGTAATAATTTTGTATGTGTGTTGTTTTTTTAAAGTAAGGTGCATGGATAGCATTCAGGGGCACAATGAATGTTTATGGCTGTACATTTTACAAAAAAGAAGAGCTCCAGCTTTCTCTGGATTCTCAAAGAACTTATAACAAAAAGAAAAAAAAAAAACAGCTGAGGCAATAGTTAGAAAACTGTTTGAAAGAATCAAAGGAAATAACCAGGAGTGATGGCACATGCCTATAATCCCAGCAAATGTGAGGCAGGAGGATTACAAATTCAATATCAGCCTCAGCAACTTAGACCCTGTTTCAAAATAAAAATTATGAAAGAGTGGGGATATAGCTAGGTTCAATCCTCAGTACACACACACAAAAAAAAAAAATACAAGAAATAAACTCACTGTCTTCTTGTCTTCGGAAGAAATCCTACCATTTCCATGGCCAGTTGTAAGCGTTCAAAGTCATGTCTCAAATCTTCTCCCTCCACCGAGAAGCAATTCTGCGTTAGATAAAAAGAGAAAAAAAATCAAAATTACTATTAAATAATGTAGACCATTAAGAAATATGGTAATTTAAGATAAGTACATGTATGTATAAATGCAAATTAAAACTGGTAGACTATTTATACATACCTGGATTCATTATATTTCCTATCTGACTACAGAGTTATGCAAAGTAAACACATACCTACGAAAATACCAGTAAGTTACCTTTTCTCCCCCTTTCACAATTTTCAAGACAAAAATCTCAAAAATTACTTAAAATAGAGTGTTATAGGTACTTATAAGGTATGTTAATACCAAGTTTGATTTTAAGTAATTCTGAAGAATTAAGAGACTCATATTATTTAAGAGAGCTCAAGTCTACGAGCAAATGTTATTTATTCAACAAATAAAATTTAACAAGTACCCATCACATTCAAGGCACTGAACTAAATCCTGGTGATACAAAAATAAATCTTAGAACAGGCAGTAATGTAAGTGAGAATAAGATCATAGATTTACATAATATGAAGCATTTTAAATTATGTATTATATTATTAGCTATATTTCTATTATTTCACAGTTTCTAAGGAAAGAATAAAAATAACATGGCAATCAAGCAAAGAAAGAAAGAAATACACGTAAAAGTTTTTATGAAATTCTCAAAAAATACATATGAGTCAGTAAAAAAGTTATGGAGTAGCAGTAAAAACATTATTTTATTTAACCTTTACATTTCAGTTCGCAAAACAAACAGTAACGCAGTGTGGATGTAATCTAAATCTTTAAAACCTTTTTACTACATGTTCTCACATTACTTTGTACTTACAGAGTCAAACACCTCTTACATTTGTGCTTATAAATGCCTATTTTCCTAGGTAATGCTCCATAAAGAACTCAATGAATCTGTCTTATTCATTGCAGATCTCAAGCATCAAGTCAACCCCAAGAGGAATTACTGAAGTAAATACATAATCATTTAATCTTAAAATCCTACCTCGTATTTCAACCCTAAAATTCCAAGCTTAGTTCAGATAAATAAAACAATCAGGTGAAACTGACCATTTATACTAATGACCATTTATACTGATAGACCAGCTTTAAAGAAGGATAGTAGACATCCAACAAAATAATATCAGTATTTATTTTCCACATTTTACAACTGAGAAAACAAAGGTTAAGACATGTTAACAGCAATAAAAATAACTTCTGTTTAAGTAGATTATACCATTTGAATATGGAAAATCTGTACTTACTAAATATCTACTTGATATGTATAATTGCACTAAATCCTCAGAACACAGAGGTAATTAATATACATTTACAGACAACAAAACATTTAGAATTTTAAAAACTTGCCCAAAGTCAAAATCTTATAAACCACTTCCAAATCCTGTGCTCTCTTCCCTACAACCCTGAAGCCACTTACTTAATAGGGGTAACCCTTAAAAGGAATTAAATCACCATTCAATAGCTAACAACAGTTACCTCATAAAAATCAATTTTCTCACTATAGGTTTCCTTGGGAGCACTCATATAACATTACAAAATATATACATCATGCAGCACAAATGGTAGAACAGTCCTTCAACAATCCTCTCAGGATATAATGCTAGTTACATAAATTCTAGTAACTCATAGGAAAAGAAAGTTTAGCTTGTTCCCAAATGTACCAGAGTTAAGTGTTATCAGGCTAAAACTACAGGATATTCAGAATGACTGATTTATTAACCAACTTGTAAGAACAAGAATCAGAACATAATCAAAGTTCAAACTAAAACAGATTTGAAAATACAATAAGCAGGAGAATATTGATGAAAGCAATATTAAAAGATTAGATTAAGGTCATAAAAATCTTCTCAAGAGAAAAGATGGATAACAATTTCAGTGATGGCAGCAAACAGTAACAACCAGTTTTTCTGCACTTAGTGTTCAGAATTCTATCAAGCTTTTCATATGCATTGTTCAAATTAATATTTCCCCTTAAGATAAGAATGAAAGAATTAAGCAACCTTTCTGAGGAGCTCAAAACTAGTTAAATGGAGGTACTTTACTTCAGAGCCCAAATTCTTAAACATTACTTACACCATCTCTGAACAAATGTAGATCAGTTCCTGTCCTGCCTACATTCCAAAGATAACCAATTCACTTGATGTAATAAGGGAAAGATGGAAAGGAGGAGCATCTTAACAATGGCAAAACAACTTAAAATTTGTCTATTAAAATTCATCAGAATTTTATAAATTTAAATGTATAGAATTTATTTCTCAAAATGTTATATCTAAAATCAAACTTTTCTTGATTGTGAAATGGTAATGTAATTAAACTTTACCTAAGAGAGAAATTAATATCCACACAGATTGGTCATTCTAAAGTGAAAATAGACTACTTTTTTAATATTTATTTTCTAGTTGTAGTTTATTTTATTTATTTATTTTTATGTGGTGCTAAGGATCAAACCTAGGGCCTTGTGCATGCTAGGCAAGCACTCTACTGATGAGCCACAACCCCAGCCCCAGAAAACAGATTACTTTTGCAATTAGTGGAACTTATAATCACATGCAGAGAGAATTAAAGCTGTGGATTTTTAAAGCAAGGACTAAGACATGTTATGCTTCCAGGAATAAATTTAATAAATTAATTCATTAATTATTAATAAACATATCTGTGTTTTTAGCCTTTACATCTTATCTAATTAAAAACTGAATCAACAAAGTTTTTTGTATTCTTTTTACGGCTAGAAACTTGTCTTTATAAAATATAACAAGTAAAGCTCAATTTACCCATTTTTATTACGTTTTATATGTCCTTAAATAACTCAATTTTTTTTCCTTTGTTTTTAAGAGAGAGAGAGAATTTTTTAATATTTTTTTTTAGTTTTTGGCGGACACAACATTTTTGTTTGTATGTGGTGCTGAGGATCGAACCCGGGCCACACGCCATGACAGGCGAGCGCGCTACTGCTTGAGCCACATTCCCAGCCCTTAAATAACTCAATTTAAACCCTAAAAATCTTATAGGAATTTCAATACTTAACTTTTTAAACATTTTATTAACCCAAGTAGCCTGTTATGCAATTTTTAAAAAGAAGAAAAATATACATGCATTCATTTTGTGAAAAGATTGTTGGCACAGGAAACAGGAATAACGTAATTTTTTAAAAATAAATAATCACTACTCATAATATGTGGTGTAATAAAACAGCAAAATAGTAATTTTTTTAAATCTCAGAGAAAATAACATAATTCATACAGATCCATACATAACAATGCTGCAGTTCATTATCAAAATAAATACTAAATGTAGATTAAACATTAGCAAATTTTAAAATATCCAAAATTGTAAACTGGTTTTTAATCAAACCATATACATATAAATCAATCATTCAGAGAAATCAAATACTGACTGATCTTCTTTCCTAAACTGTTTTCAAGATGTATATAAATAAGCAACATGAGGGCCTTTTAACAGGAACACATAATATTTAGGTACTTGTACTGACCGGCTCATAGTCATAGCAATAATCATCCCAGCTCTGTCTGAGGGGTTTCTTTGTTATCTGAAAGTAAGGCAGATTAGTTAGGCAGAAGTTATTAAGTAATGGTACACTTCTCTAACAATCTCTTAGATGTTATGTGCAGGTAGCACTACTGCTATCTAAGTAGAAGTTACTTTGTATAGCAATATAAAATAAGAAAGAAGCATTCAGATCATGGGAGATCATATATTATTCTGTCCAACCCATATATGCTACTGTCCACTGACTCTGATATTCATCAACTGATAAATCCCACATCCTATGAATACTGATATTAGAAGGAAACAGAACTCTGGATTTCCTACTACTAACAACTATCAACTCATTTATGGATGATTACTACCTTGCAAAGAAGAAAATATTTAATCACCCAAATACCAAGCAAGTAATTTACACAGAGAAGGAAAAAAAAGCAGAAACAGAATTGGCAATTTTTTTAAATTTTCTTAATTCTGCCTGGTAAAAATGTCTATTATTATATCATATATAAATGGTATTTTGAATAACTTTGAAATTCTTGATATATTAATATAAAGCTAAGGAAAATTATATTAACATGTAATTTCAAGATTAAGAAATATAAGTTATACAGTACACTCTTAGGAAAAATCTAAGGTGTTACTTTCATAACACTAAATACAACCTATAATCTTTGAGTCATCATTAAAGTATTAATTAATTTAAAAATCTACATATGTATTTTTTAATTACCATAAAGAAATTTTTTCCATAGACATTATATTTTGCATCAAACAAAAAATAAGGAGAGACAATCTATTAAATGGTCCCGTTATAGCAATTCCATTAATACTGGTTTTAGAATTTTTGTTAATATGAGGAATAAAATTAGAGAAATCAATGTTATGAAAATTATGAGAATCACTCCTTATTTTGGAAGCTTAGGGGTAAATATTGAATTTTAAAGAAATATTTAAATTCTTTAATTCATTTGCCTTTCAAATTTTTTTCTTTTTTTGTCTCATTTTAAAAATGAGACAAGGTCTCACTATTTTGCCCAAGCTGGGCTTGAACTTGAAATCCTCCTGTCTGAGGCTGCAGGTACGTGTCACCACACACAGTTATTTCACACTAAATGTTTAAAAAAAAAAAATTCATTAAATTGTAAAGTCAAACTCTTAAATCAGTGTCATAACATCCTGCAAAGAGGTAGTTGCATTAAGACTGTAAAACATGCAAATCAGGTTTCAGGTAATCCCTTTATAAAGGACAATCATTACTCTGTAAAAAGTAAATCACTTTGGCAAAATCACATTTCTCATACGGAATAATACCAATAAGCAACTTATTATATTCCATCACAAAACACAGAAAGAGTACATATAACTAATTTTTAACACACAAGGGTGATGATAATTTGTATATTTGAAAATTTCATCATATAAATTTTTAAATTGTATGTATGAAAATGCTAGTTAATATCCATTACCAGGTTTGGGAAAGAAAAGACTAGGAAATAAAAGCTTTCTTCAAGGATGAAAATTTAACATGCCCTACATTTCAAAATGCTTTTCTTGAATATCTCACCTGATTGAGATAATGATATTCCTCTGGCTGTTTAAGATGAAATGCTAACCTCTCTTCTTCACTTGCTCCTGCCAGAAGGTAATAGAATACATGATAGTTCCTATTGGAAACAAAGAAAAGTAAAGCCTTATAAAATGAATGTGGGATTTACAGTAATCATTTTACAGGAAAAAATGAGGAAACATTATTTAGTAAAATGAATTAGAAGGGCTTAATTTTTAATACAAATGTAATGGATTCAATATTTAAGTTTTCCTACAAAAGAGAATGATGTTTTAGGTTCAGAATGTAAAGGAGAGGAACAAAGGTAGCAAAATGTCGTTCTTATAACAAACGAGAAAACTTGCAAATTTGTCAGAATTAACTTCTTCATAACTCTGTAAATTTTTTAAAAATTGCAACGATCACCACTCATGATGGCATATGCCTGTAATCCCAGCTGCTCCATGAGGCTGAGGCAGGAGAACTGCAAGTTCAAAGCAAAAGCAAGGCACCAACCAACTCAATGAGACCCTGTCTCTAAATAAAATACAAAATAGGGCTGGGGATGTGGCTCAGTGGTTGAGTGCCTCTGAGTCAATCCTCGGTATTCCCAGTCCCCAAAAATTGCAATTTCACCAATTTATCAGTAGTCTTGAAAACCAACAGCCTGCAATCATGGTGGCCACCAGAAGACTGGCAACCACCAGAAGGGATGTAACAGGGTTGAAGCTTATTCAAGGACTCATTCCCTAAATACCAATATTCTAATTGTCTGGTTTTTCCTCAAAGAAGCCATATATTCAAGTCTCTTTTTATATGACCTGATGGAATTCACATAGTTGGGGTAAATAAGAGGTTAACAAAAAAAAAAAAAAAACTTAAGGTGAAAAGTTCCAATATATTTCTGGCAATCAAAGAGACCAAACACACGCATAAGCTGTGTACTAGACTAGGATTGTATGTACAAAGACCAGTTGAGGTACAAACTCTCAACTCTATCTAACCTTGAAGGTCTGGACAAGCAAGAAATAAAGACTAAGGTGGATTTAAAATATGCCTAGCAGCTGAGTATTGAAGGCACAACCTTCATCAGATACACGGAGAGCCTTGTGGTGAAGAGTAGAAGACTTATTTATTTCCAAACATTTAAAGAAATCTCTGTCCAATCATTAACTGACAACTAAATGAAATAAGCACTCAATGATCACACTCAAAAAAAAAAAATACAGATTTTACAAAGTTGGTTCAGAAAAGTCATGAAATAGTCAAACAGAAATAAAAACAATTACAAAACCTGAGAAAGGAAAAATCCATCTCCAGGGTTGCTACATTATATGATTTAAAATGTCCAATTTTCAATAAAAAATTATGACACACACAAAGGAATAAGAAAATATAGCAAAGTAGAAAAAGGAGAAAAAAATCATTAGTAATTGTCTCTAAGAAATCCCAGACATTACACTTATCACAAGATTTTAATCAGCTATTTTTTTCCTTTCTTATGTGTGTGTGTGGTGCTGGGGATTGAACCCAGGGCCTTGTACATGCGAAGCAAACACTCTACCAAATGAGCTATATCCCCCAGTCCTTTTTTTCCTTTTATTGGTCCATTATAGTTGTAAATAATATTAGGTTCATTTTTACATAGTAAAACATGCATGAAATTTAATTTATTCCATTTCAGCCTCTAGTACCCACCCTGCCCGCCTCCTCTATTCTGCTTCTTCTCCTCTACGAGTCTACCTTGCAATCACTTATATGTTTTTAATTAATGCTTTAGAGATATATATAAAAATGAAATTCACGGTGATATATGTATACATGTACATTGCATAATTTTGTCAAATTCCTTGTGCATTTCCCCCCCTTTCCTGTCCCTCCTTCTTCCCCTTAAATTTCTTTCTACTCCTCTGATCTTCCCTCTCTATTGATCTGATAGCCAACCCCCCCAACACACTTCTTCTTACCCATACTTTGCTCCACCTTCGGCATATAAGAGAGAATATTCAGCCCTTGATTTTCTGAGACTGGCTTATTTCACTTACCAGTTCCATCCATTTATCACCAAATGCTATAAGTTCATTTTCTTTCTTTCTTTCTTTCTTTCTTTCTTTTACTCAGTCACCTTACTGATGGCCACCTGAACTGGTTTCATAACTTGGCTATTTTGAGTTGCACTGCTATTAACACTGATGTGGCTCTATCACTAGAGTATGCTGTTAAACAACTATTTTAAATATAACCAAAGACTAAAGAAAATCCTATTTAGTGAAATAAAGTATAACAATAATATCTCAACAAATAGACTATTTAAGAAAATAATCAAAAAGAAATTTTGGAATTGAAAGATATAATTGAAATGAAAATTTTTGTAAAATGGTTGCTGAGTTCAATAATAGATATGAATAGGCAGAATAAATAATTGGTGAACTTGAAAGAATCATTGAACTTGAAAGAAGAAAGGTCAATCAGACTAGTCTGAAGAAGAATAAGAACAAAAATGAAGAAAAATGGACAGTCTCAGATAGTCCATCATTAAAAAGAACAATATATATATATATATTATATAATATATATTTTATATTTTACATATATACATATATATACATACATATGTGTGTGTGTGTGTGTATATATATATATATATATATATATACACACATATATATATAAAACGAGAAGCCCAATGTAAGAAAAGAATAGGGAGCAGAAACAATATTTGAAAAATAATTGGCAAAAACTACCCCTTGTAATGGAAAACAATCTGCACATCTCTTAGGGTTTGGAACTTGAATGCAACCCCCAAGACTTGAGTGATTGGATCAAGAGGGCTCCAACTTCACAAGTGGTTTATTCCATTAATAGCTGAATGAAAGTGGTGGAAACATAGGTGCTGGAGCAAAATTAAACGAAGTAGGTCACTGAGTGCGCTCTAGAAGGGAATTTCTTATCTTGCACCATCACGCACATGTCTGTGCACGCTGCGCCTGTCTTCCTTTCTTTCTCTCCCTCTTCTCTGTTCATGCCAGCTTTCCTCCAACACACCCTTCTGACACTGATACTGGGTCTCTCCTCAGGTCCAAAGCAATGGAGCCAGCCAACCATGAACTGAAACCTTTGAAATCATGAGCTAAATATTATCTTTCTTCCTCTAAGTTGTTCTTTCCAGGTATATTTGTCACAGTTGCAAAAAGATAATTCAACATCCAAGAAACTCAACAAATTCCAGGGAGGATAAACTCAAAAAATTTCACACCTATGCAAACCAAAACTGTTGAAAGATAAGTCCAAAAAATTTGGAAGCACCAAAGCATTATAGCTTATCAAAATATTCTAAAATAAGATTGACAGCTAGTTTGTCCTAAAGAACTATGGCAAAGGGATAACACAGTCAAAGTGCTTTAAGGGGAAAAAAACCTGTCAACCACCAATTATGTATTCAGAAAATTATCCTTTAAATATCATAGAGAAATTAAAACATTCTCAAATATACAAAAACTAAGATTCCATAGTTAGCTGTTGGGCCCTGCAAAAAAATATTAAGGGGAGTTTTTCTGGCTGAATTAAAAGAGTATTTTTTTAAATATTTATTTTTTAGTTGTAGTTGGATATTTATGTATGTATCTATCTATCTATCTGTCTATCTATCCTATTTATTGTATATATGGTGCTGAGGATTGAACCCAGGGCCTCGCACATGGTAGGCAAACACTCTACTGCTGAGCCACAACTCCAGGCCCTTAAAAGGGTATTAAGGAAGATTTAACTAAACATAAAGAAATAATAAAAACACTGGTAAAAGTACCAATAAATTTAAACATAGGTAAATTTAAAAGAAAGCATACATTTTTTGTTTGTAATGCTTTTTCTAATAAACTTAAACCGCACTGAGCAATAATTATGAAATCTAAGTTAATGAATGTACCACTGTAAATATGTAATCTGCATGAAAATAACAGCACAAAATGGGAAAGAACAGATCAACAGAAATACAATTTTTTGTACACTATCAAAATTTAGTTGTTATTAATCCAAACACAACTGTTACAAATTCAGATATTAACTATAATCCCCAGGGAAACCACTAAAAATTTACTGAAAATAATAAAATAAATACCAACAGAAATAAAATGGTACCATAAAAAATATTTACTTAACACAATACCAGTACTAGGAAAATAGATGAAGAAAAATATCATAACACATTCAGAAAACAAAGAGCATAAGAATATTCTACTGTAATAGTAATTACATAAAATAGAAGTGGACTATACATTCTATCCAAAAGCAGATAACTGGCAAAGGATTAAAAACAAAACTTAATCAAACTACATGCTACCTATAGGATACACTCTTGAGACTCAAAGACAAATAAGTTGAAAATATATAAAAAATATAAATTTCCAAACTTCCCATATATAACATGCAAACAGAAACCAAAAGAAAGCTGGAGTAGCTACACTAATATTGGATGAAATAAGACTTTTAAACAAAATTTGTTCCTAGACACGTAAGACAAATCCATCAAGATACAATAATTCTAAATATAAATGCAACTTAAGCTGAGCCCAAAAATATATAAGGCAAAAAGTGGAAAGAACCAAAGGAAGAAATAGACAACTCAACAATGATGAGAGGCTTTAATACTCCAATTTCAATAATGGATGAATAACCAGACAAAAGATCAATAGGAAAAAAGACTGAAAAATACTACCTAACAATCATCTATAGAACACTTTCCAACAGAAGGATATACATTTTCTTGAGTTCACATGAAACATTCTCCAGGATAAACCATATGTCAGACCATAAAATAAGTCTCAATTAAGGAAACTGAAATCATACAACACCCACTTCAACCACTTCACAATAAAATTAGAAATCAAAAGCAGAAATCTCTAAAATTCACAAATATGTGGAAATGAAATAACACTCTCATAAATAACCAATGGATTCAAGAAGAAATCACAAAGGAAATACTTTCAGATCCACAAAAATATTAATACCCCTTAGTATCTATCAAGGATTAGTTCTAAGACACCCCTTCACCTCCAGATACCAAAATCTGAAGATGTTCAAGTCCATTATATAATAAAATAGCACACAATTTGCATATAAAACATGTACATCTTCCAATATGCTTTAAATCATCCCTCAGCATAATACCTAATACAATGTAAGAAAAATAATTGCATTACTATAATATTTAAAGAATAATGAAAAAAACTGCGCATTTTCAGTACAGATGCAAATTTTTCCCAAATATTTTCAAACTGAGATTGGTTGAATCCATAGATGTAGAACACACGGATACAGAGAGCCAACTACATGCCAAAACAGGGGAAATAGCTGAAGCAATGTGTTAATGGTTTGTATTTGAGGTATCCCCTAAAAGCTCATGTGTGACGCAATGAAAGAGGTTTAGAAGAGAAATGATTGAGTTATGAGAGTCTTAACCCAATCCATGAAATAATCCCCTAATGAGATTAACTGAGTGGTAACTGTAGGTGTGTAGGGTGTGACTGGAGGAGGTGGGTCTCTAGGAGTGTGCCTTTGAGTTAAGTATTTTGTATCTGGGGAGGGGAGTTTCTATCCCTCTCTCTCCTGATCATCATGTGAGCTGCTTCCCTCTGCCACACTCTTCTGCCATGATGTTTAACCTCTCCTTGAGCCCCAAGGAATGGAGCCAGCTGCCTATGGACTAAGTCCTCTGAAACCCTAAGCCCCCAAATAAATTTTTGCTTCTCTACAGTTGTTCTGGTTGGATCTTTTAGTCAAAGGAGTGAAAAAGCTGACTAAAACACAGTGATTTATACCTGTAAACCTTTATTAAAAGAAAAATATGGGGCTGAGTCTGTGTCTCAGCGGTAGTGCACTTGCCTAGCACTTGCAAGGTGTTGGGTTTGATCCTCAGCACCACATAAAGATAAAAACAAATAAAAATAAAGGTATTGTGTCCAACTACAACTAAAAAAATACTAAAAAAGAAAAAAGAAAAATCTCAAATCTATAACCTAACTATCTACCTTAAGAAACTAGGAAAAAAGCAACATTCTAAACCAAATGCAAGCAGAAGAGATAAAATAATAAGCATCAGAGCAGAAATAAATAAAACAGGAAAATAGAGGACATCAATGAGACAAAAAAAAATAGGTTTCTTGCAAAGATCCATAAAATGAACAACTTTAAAATGATATGAGAGCAAGAGAAACAGGCAGAAAGATAAGGCTGGCAGGTAGAGATTCAAATTTAGAAACAAAAGATTGTAAGAGATACTATAAACAAAATTTGTTTAACAAGTTGATAACCCAGATAAAATGGTCAAATTCCTAGAAAGATGCAAACTACTAAATCTGACTAAAGAAGAAATAGTCTGAATATATCCATAATAACCAAATTGTTTGAATTAGAAATCAAAACTTTACATAAATGAAAGCCCAGAACCAGATGACTTTGTTGGTGAATTCTACCAAACATTTAAAGAACCCAATTCTTCACAAGCCTTTCCAAAATATTATAAAAGGGTACAGTTCCCATTTTATTCTATGAACCAGTGTACTACTACCCTAATATCAAAATAGAAAAAGACATCACACCCAAAAAAAAACTTAGAGCAATAGACAGAAAAATCCACAACAAAATAATAGCAAGCCAAATCTAACAACATATCATAAGGCTTGTATGTGCACGTAACTGCAAATCAAATCCATCAAGGTGTCAGAGAATGAATAAAGTAAAGAGTAAAGCCTCCCATTCATTTCTAAAACCAGGAAAGCAGGCTGATATCCCCACCATTCCACTAAAGTGTATATTCCTATAATCTGAGCAACTTGGGAGGCTGAGGCAGGAGGATCACAGTTTGAAGCCAGCCTCAACAACCTTTCTCAAAAAGGATGAGATATAGCTCAATGATTAAGCTCCCCAGTTAAAAAAAAAACGTGGGGGGCGGGTGGTCTGGGGATGTGCTCATACCTTGAGTTCAATCCTCAATACAGGGGGGTACTAATTAATTGATTGATATCAACCAAGTTCTAACTAAACTTGGAATGGAGCCATTTGTTTGATTTGATCATAGTGAACAACACTTAGATAATGTTTAGTCCATAAATAAATGCCTCTCACTTCATACTGTTTTTGTTCTGTTTTTAGCTGGAAGGGGCCTTAGGGATCATTATTTTATTCATTCAACAGATATTTCAGTGCCTACTATATGCTAGGCAATGTGTTAACTGAGCATGTCAGAATGAACAAAAGGTATTACTCACCCTCATGGAACTAATCAGAAAAATGTACTAATAACCTCCTAATAGCAGCACCTGCTAAGCCCCATAAGCCTTTATGAAGCTACTCTCTTCCTAAAACTTCCTCCTTTTTTCCACTGCTTGGTGCTAGGGCCTTGTATATGCTAAGCATATGCTCTTACCACTAAGCTATTCTTCCAGTCCTCTCCCTTTGTTTTGAAACACCTCTAATTCCAATATCCTCTATTTCTGCTAGCCACAAAATAAATACAAAATAACTGAAAAACCAGACTTCTTATCCTAATCCTGCCTGTAATTCATTAAGACAATGTTACCATTAATTACTGAACTTTTATTATATATGAGGACCACTCAATAAGCATTTTTTAAATTTCAATTAATCCTCTAAACAACTCTAGAATAGTTTTCCATGTATAAAATGGGAATAAATGCCTAAGAGACAAGTGAGATGCCTGAGTCAAAGATTTTTAATGTACGTCTATTTAACTTCAAACTTTAGATCTTAACTTTATTTTGTCTCACTATATCATGAAGCAAAGCATTTCTCTCTTTCATACTTGGTTTCTTCATATGAATGATAACACATACATCATGTCTAAAGTCCCATATTCCTCAAATATTGTAACTGAATTAAGTGCTCTATTTGGAATCTTTTTTCAAATTAGAAAAACAACAATTAGATACAAAGAAAAGGTTTTATCACCTAAGAAATGGTTTTCCTATTCTGATGGTTTACCAAAAATTTAGAAAAAGCAATAATTCTACATACCAATAAAATCACCTAATAGGGACTGGAATTATAGCTCAATGGTAAAGTGCTTGCCTAGCACATGTGAGACACTTGGGTTCGATCCTCAGAACCACATAAAAATAAATAAATAAAATAAAGGTATTGTGTCCCTCTACAATTAAAATATATATTTTTAAAAATCACCTAACAACCTCTGAAAATCCACAGAATTCTGTTCACGAAAAAAATAACAATTACATGTAAAACTACACATGGTGTTAAGTGAATTCAAGGGTCTTCTTCTTTTTTTTTTTTTTGTGGTGCTGGGGTGTGAACCAAGGTCTTGTGCATGCAAGGCAAGCACTCTACCAACTGAGCTATACCCCTAGCCCTGAATTCAAGGTCTTAATATACAAAGTAACTAAAAGTCAATCTGTATACTATTAATGCTAACTTGATAAAATTATACAAATAAAAATACATACCGTTCATTATGCTCTTGATAAACAAGCCTGGACTTCTCTAGTAGATATTTTTCAACATAGGCACTAGAAGAAAAGTAAATTCATAAAAGTAATAAATACAAAGCAGATACATATTTATTTATAATGATACGAAAGTACAAAGAATATGCTCCAGATCATCTTAGTACATTTACCATTATAATTGTTAAGGATGCTGTATTATCCAATGTTAAGTCCACAAACTAATGAGTCTTAATACAGCCAAGAGAATGAGATGGGTAGAAAGATTACATCAAAAAGAGTTAACATACTACAAGCTATAGAACGGACTTTAACCTGAGGAAAAAAAAAAAATGAGGAACTGAACCATCAATTTTATTTCTCATATTTTGTTCTTTGCCAGGCTGTACCTTCAAGTTCAATACCTCTCATCCAAACAGGAGCAACTGCCTAACATTGTAATTTTCTAGAAAAGGGTTTCTAAAATGTTTAGATTTTTAAATTTTACACTATTCTATCCAAATTACTTTGGGTTAAATTTGACTTGTGAGCTGTGTTTAACGCAATTCCTCCCCATCACATTCTCTCTACTTAGTTATAAATACAGGTTATTTTCTCAGGCATATCATTCATTCCCCACTACACTGCTCAACATTCTTCCTTCCACTTGTAATTCCTTAATCTATTTCCACTCTCATTTTAGTGAATATCATTCCTTTATTAATATGGAGCTCAAATATGGCTTCTTTTCAAGCATACTACTACTACCACCACCAATTAAATTATCACTCTTTTCAAAGTATCATAATAACTACTATGCAACAGTCTACTGCAACAGACTCTTAATCTGTCTGAAAAGTAAGAAAAGGTATTAATATGAACTAATATGTAAACTCTCACAACCATCCTTCATAGCAAATATTACATCCCTTATTTTACAAATGTAGAAATTGATGCTCAAAGATATTAAGACCATATACTAGTAAACTGTACAACTATGACATAAACCCAGGTCTGCTTTAACTGCAAAAGCTCTCCCTTCCAACTAAACCAACAAACTACTTCATGGAGTAATACCTTTTTTCTTCCCTCAATCCACAGGTGATACTGGTACAGTGTTATTCATCTACAACATAAGATCTAGTTATGTTATTCTTTTACTTTCACTTGCTCAACATAATGAAGCACACAGAGGTAAACTGATATTATGTCTGTGATTTTTTAAAAAATCAGCATAGCAAAAGAAGAAAGGGGTGTTGTGGTTGTGGCTCAGTGTTAGAGCTCTTACCTAGCATGTGTGAGACAATGAGTTCGATCCTCAGCACCACATAAAAAATATACAAATAAAATAAAGGTATTGTGTCCATCTACAACTAAAAATATATTTTAAAAAAAGAAGAAAGGGCTACATAAAGCAAATATGACGAATTTTAATCATTGTTGAATCTTACCAGGAGTTACTTGTCCTATTTAATTTGTGTAAGATTGTTTTGTATAAAATTCTTTAATCTGTTTCACAATGTCAAGAAAATATTTACAAACATCTGAGTTTTATTCACAAAACTGGACATCAACTGACCACTATGACCATGTTCTATAACCATGTAGCTTACTTCCTCAAATATACCATGTTGTCATATTTCCACTCATTTACTAATTATCATTTCAACTAATAATGTAATATCCCAGTCCTTCTTGGAAAATTTTCAATGGAAATCACCTTTTTTTAATATTTTTTAATTGTAGATGAACACAATAACTTTATTTTGTTTATTTTTTATGTGGTGCTGATGATCAAACGCAGTGCCTCACATGTATGAGGCAAGTACTCTACCACTAAGCCACAACCCCAGCCCCTGGAAATCACCTTTTTATGTGAAACCTCCAGACACGTATTTCAATCATTGCATTGATCTCATTTACTGTAATTAAATTATATAAATATCTGTCATCTCAAAACAGACAATAAGACCTTTAAAAACAGAAAACTTGTTTACATCTTTTTATATTCTCCTTACTTATCACATTGTCTGGTTCTCAAAATGCATTCTATAAACCTTGTTCAGTAAATAAAATAAGGAAAGAGTAAAAACTGTTTAATATATATTTCTTGGCTTATCAACAAAGAAGATTATTATTGATCATAACATAACAAAAAGGTTAATCTTTAAGATATTAACACATAACAGCCTGAATTTCCTTCAAAAGATGGGAAAATGTCTGCTATTCCTGAATCACAAAACTGTTTTTGAGAATTTAATAATATTTCATAAGTTATAAAGCACTATGACTTCACCTATTATCAATCTATGCTACAGCACAATCAGTAATACTAAGAAAAGTCTGATGACTTGACTGTATCCCACTTTTATGAATAAAAGTACCAAAAGTATCTAATTAGCCTTCAGAATCAGAAAAATAGATGAGCTAACAATCTTACCATAGAAAAAGGACTTATCTCTTGTTTTTGTTTTTGCTTTTCTTAAACTGGTTTTGGTTTTCTACAGGTGGTAGAGGGAAACACATAGTAGGTGGGGTCGATAATTTTTTATTTAAATGCAGAAATAATAAAATTTTAAAACAAGTAAAATAGCATGAAAAAGAAAAGTACTGATAAATTGCACTTATTAATATGGATCCAAGTATCATAATGAAAACTAACAAACAGATCCAGATGTGGTAGAACATGCCTATAATCTCAGCAACTCATAAATCACAAATTGGGGGTCAACCTTAGCAACTTATCAAGACTCTGTCTCAAAATGAAAAATTAAATAAATATATAAGCAAACAAAAGGACTGGGGATGTAGCTCAGTGGTAAAACACATTCAATCCTCAGTACCAAAAAAATAAATTTAAAAAAAAAAAAAAGAAAAGAAAAACCTAGCCAATAGAACACAACAACAAATTTGGGGGTGGGGGCAGTATTTACCAAGTGGAATTCCTTTCCCAGAAATGAAATATAGTTAAATAGTGGGGAGAAATGACAATATTAATAAATCTCAGGATAAAGACATGATTAATCTCCATAAATACCAAAAAGGCTTCTGATAAAATTTAATACCTATTACTGACAAAAGCACTAAAGAAAATTAAAATCAAGGCTTAATTGGTTAACATAATTAAAGGTCCTAAAGCCAGTATTTTACTTTTGGAGAAAAGGTAAAAAAAAAAAAAAACAGTCAAGTAAAGTACAGAAACAATATTATTATGCTATTGTTATACTTTGGATATTAAATGTCCCTCAAAGGTCCACATGCTAAAGACTTGATTGCCGGTCTGTGACAATGGGAAATGGCAGAACCTTTAGAAAACAAGACCTAAGGAAGCAAATTAAGGTATTGCAAACATGCTCTGAAAGGGGCAATGGGAATTCTGGGCCCTTTCTCATGGAGACAGTAAAAAGATTAGTAGTTGCCAAAGGTTACCAGTAGGAGGTGGAACTATTCTGTTTTACCCTGTAATGGTGAGTACATACCTTCTATACATTTGTCAAAAACCATGGAATGTACAATACACACAGTGAACCTAAGAGCAAATTATTAACTTTAGAATTAATAAGAATATGTCAACAACATTGGCCTAGCAATTGTAACAAATGCACCACTAATGTAAGATATTTATACTAGGGATTATGAGGTTATGGAACATAGTTTGAAGGAATATAAGGGGATTCTATGTACTTTCCACTTGCTATTGACCTAACACTGCTCTAAAAAATACTCTATTAGTTTTTTAACGCTACAAAGAATATTGCTGGCACAAAAGACTCTGTTCTTAAGACTATATAAGAATTATTACTAAACAAAATTCAATCTCTTGATTTTAAGAACACTAATATCAGCATGTACAAAAGTATAATTATTTTAGTATAATTAGGGAGTCAAGTTTTATGTCCAACTTACTTGAAAACCATTCCAAAAACTAAATGTATATATAACAGAGAAAAGTAAATGCAACAAATTGTTCATAATTAATAAATATAAGTTAAGAGTGTATGAGTGTTACATATTCTTACAACCTGAGGTTTAAACTTTTCCACAAGGAAAGAAAAATGAGAGGAAAAAGTTTTAGGCCAGCATGTTGCACACACCTATCATCACAGACACTTGGGAAGCTGAGGCAGTAAGACTGTGAGTTCAAGGCCAGTCTAGGAAAGTCAGTGAGACCTGGTCTCAAGATAAAATTAAAAGGGCTAGAGATGTTATCTCATGGATAGAATGGTTGCCTAACATACATAACTCTATTCAACCGAGTACTGTACTTCCCGCCAAAAAAAATGTGGGTTATTTTTCTTTCTTAATACCATACACCAATGTCACAATTTGTAGCTCATAAAGGAATAATGACAAAAATAAAAACATTTCCCAGAGCAGTACTTACCCAAGTACAGTGCCTGTTTCCTGGTAATTAACTTGAATAAACTTGCCAAAACGACTTGAATTATTGTTATGAGCAGTCTTTGCATTTCCAAAAGCCTGTCAAAATAAATCATTCTCATTAGTTTCAATTAAAAACAATTTTTTTAAACAATGTTTAGGTCAGCTCAAAGACATAAAGAGATAACTGAAAGTCAATTCATTTTATATGTTCCAATTAATATTCACAGATCAGATAAAATAAAAGGAAGCAATTAATAAATGAAAGATCAAGAAGATTTTGTCAGTAAAATAATTCTTAATTTTAAAAACCTAATGCTCAGTAAAGTTCAAATTTCGTTTTCACATTTCAGAGCCAGCAAAATATCTTAATGTATTTATAATTTCTGAAAATCCAGTTAAGATGAAATAACAAGGGGCTAGTAAAAAATAACTTCATTAAAACAATTACAATTTTAGAAATGTATAAGTGAAATTTCATTAAAATCTTACTTTTATATACATTTAAAATAAAACTATAGCATTCATAACAAAAGAATAAAAACTATAAACTCCCTAAATGGCTACCCAAGTACACACCATGCAATGGACTGATGATACAATGACCAGTTAGAAATATTAAACATTATCAGAAGAAACCAGACATAGAGTACATACTATACAATCCATCTATGTGAAATTCTAGAAAAGGCAAAACAATAGTTACAGGTAACAGATCAGAGTATATATGGGAATTGGGGTGGAATTGGGAAATGTCTACAAAGGAGCCCAAGAGGTGATTAAGATATTCTAGAATTTGTTCATATAATGGTGGTTACTTGAGTATAATATATTCTCAAAACTAAATTTTTTCATTTGTTTTAATTAGTTACACATGACAGTACAATGATCTTGACATATCATACATTTAAATCAGAAGGGGTATAATTTCTCATTTTTCTGAGTGTGCAGGTTGCAGAATCACATTGGTCATACAGTCACATATACACATACAGCAATAATAATGTCTATTTTATTCTGCTGTCCTTCCTATCCCCACTTCCCCATAAATTTTAACCATGTATAGGTTTTGCTAAGTTTTAGCTCAATAAAAAATTATTAAAACAAGCTGGAGATATAGCTCAGTGGTAGAGTACTTGCCTAAGTATAAGGCAGCAAAGCTTGGAGTCCAATCCTAAGCACCGGAAGGAAAAAAAAAAAAGACACTTCCCTAAAGTAATCCATTCACAATATATGTAGAAAAACAAAACTAGAAAAGACATGGAGTTAAAGATAATTTATTGCAGATTTTTTTTTTCCTGTTCTAATAATCTCATTAGAAATGACCTACCCTATAACTTCAAAACCTAAAGTAGCCATTTGCTGAACACTGCCTAGATGCAAAAATCATGTATGTGTTGAACTATAACAGTATAGAGTATACAAACATGGATACACACACACACACAAAGAGAAGGTGAGGAGGTAATCTCAACTGGTTCCTTAATAACTACTACATTTCTACTACATTCCCAGTGTGGTCAAGATCAGAAGCATAACAAGGTTGGTTCAACATACAGAAATCAATAAATGTAATTCATCACTTCCATAAGCTTCCTTCGCAAGAAAAGTAAAGCAGGAGGCGTCACAATACCAGACCTTAAATTATACTATGGAGCTATAGTAAAAAAAATAAAATACTTGGGAATCAACCTAACAAAAGAGGTGAAAGACTTATACAATGAAAACTACAGAACGCTAAAGAGAGAAATAGAAGAAGATCTTAGAAGATGGAAAAATATACCCTGTTCATGGATAGGCAGAACTAACATCATCAAAATGGCGATATTACCAAAAGTTCTCTATAGGTTTAATGCAATGCCAGTCAAAATCCCAACGGCATTTCTTGTAGAAATACAGAAAGCAATCATGAAATTCATATGGAAAAATAAACGACCCAGAATAGCAAAAATAATGCTAAGCAGGAAGTGTGAATCAGGCAGTATAGCGATACCAGACTTCAAACTATACTACAGAGCAATAGTAACAAAAACAGCATGGTACTGGTACCAAAACAGGCGGGTGGACCAATGGTACAGAATAGAGGACACAGAAACCAATCCACAAAACTACAACTACCTTATATTTGATAAAGGGGCTAAAAGCATGCAATGGAGGAAGGACAGCATCTTCAACAAATGGTGCTGGGAAAACTGGAAATCCATATGCAACAAAATGAAACTGAATCCCTTTCTCTCGCCATGCACAAAAGTTAATTCAAAATGGATCAAGGAGCTTGATATCAAATCAGAGACATGCCATGTGATAGAAGAAAAAGTTGGCTACGATCTACATACTGTGGGGTCGGGTTCCAAATTCCTCAATAGGACACCCATAGCACAAAAGTTAATAACTAGAATCAACAAATGGGACTCACTCAAACTAAAAAGTTTTTTCTCAGCAAAAGAAACAATAAGAGAGGTAAATAGAGAGCCTACATCCTGGGAACAAATCTTTACTCCTCACACTTCAGATAGAGCCCTAATATCCAGAGTATACAAAGAACTCAAAAAATTAGACAATAAGAGAACAAACAACCTAATCAACAAATGGGCCAAGGACCTGAACAGACACTTCTCAGAGGAGGACATACAATCAATCAACAAGTACATGAAAAAATGCTCACCATCTCTAGCAGTCAGAGAAATGCAAATCAAAACCACCCTAAGATACCATCTCACTCCAGTTAGATTGGCAGCCATTATGAAGTCAAACAACAACAAGTGCTGGCGAGGATGTGGGGAAAAGGGTACACTTGCACATTGCTGGTGGGACTGCAAATTGGTGCAGCCAATTTGAAAAGCAGTATGGAGATTTCTTGGAAAGCTGGGAATGGAGCCACCATTTGACCCAGCTATTCCCCTTCTCGGTCTATTCCCTAAAGACCTAAAAAGAGCATGCTACAGGGACACTGCTACATCGATGTTCATAGCAGCACAATTCACAATAGCAAGACTGTGGAACCAACCTAGATGCCCTTCAATAGATGAATGGATAAAAAAAAATGTGGCATTTATACACAATGGAGTATTACTCTGCATTAAAAAATGACAAAATCATAGAATTTACAGGGAAATGGATGGCATTAGAGCAGATTATGCTAAGTGAAGCTAGCCAATCCCTAAAAAACAAATGCCAAATGTCTTCTTTGATATAAGGAGAGTAACTAAGAACAGAGTAGGGTCGAAGAGCATGAGAAGAAGATTAACATTAAACAGGGATGAGAGGTGGGAGGGAAAGGGAGAGAGAAGGGAAATTGCATGGAAATGGAAGGAGACCCTCAGAGTTATACAAAAGTACATACAAGAGGAAGTGAGGGGAAAGGGAAAAATAATACAAGGGGGACAAATGAATGTCAGTAGAGGGGGCAGAGAGAGAAGAGGGGAGGGGAGGGGAGGGGAGGGGGGATAGTAGAGGATAGGAAAGGCAGCAGAACACAACAGACACTAGTATGGCAATATGTAAACCAATGGATGTGTAACTGATGTGATTCTGCAATCTGTATATGGGGTAAAAATGGGAGCTCATAACCCACTTGAATCAAAGTGTGAAATATGATATATCAAGAACTATGTAATGTTTTGAAAAGCCAACAATAAAAAATTAAATAATAATAATAATAATAAAAAGATTAAATAGAGAAAAAAAAAAGAAAAACAGTGATATTGGCACTAAAACAGACACAAAGACTAATGGAACAGAATAGAAGACACAGAGACAAATCCACATGAATACAGTTGTCTCATACTAGACAAAGGTGCCATAAACATACATTAGAGAAAAGATAGCCTCTTTAACAAATGGTACTTATAAAACTGAAAATCCATATGTAAGCAGAATAAAATTGAAACTCAGCTCAAAGTAAATCAAGGACCCAGGCATTAAACAAGAGACCCTGTGCCTACTAAAGAAAATGTAGGCCCAACTCTCCATCGTGTCAGTTTAGGAACCGACTTCTTCAACCAGACTCCTAAAATGCAAGAAGTAAAATTAAGAATCAATAAATGGGGGCTGAGACTGTAGCTGAGTGGTAAAGTGCTTGCCTCGTACGTGAAAGGCCCTAGGTTCGATCCCCAGCACCACATAAAAATATTGTGTGTTCATCTACAACTAAAAAAATATTTTTAAAAAAAGAATCAATAAATGGTATATCAAACTAAAAAGCTTCTTCACAACAAAGGAAGCAATCAAGAAAATGAAGAGAGAGCCTACAGAATGGGAGAAAATCACCTGAACCTCAAGAGCATTAATATTCAAGATATTCAAAGAACTCAAAATACTTAACACCAAAAAAACAAATAACCTAGTCAATAAATGGGCAAAGGAACTGAACAGTCACTTAAAAGAAGAAGAAATAAGAGTGGTCAACAAATATATGAAAAAATGTTCAACATCTCTAGCAACCAGTGAAATGCAAATTAAAACTACATTAAGATTCCATCTCACTGCAGTCAGAATAGCAATTATCAAGAATACAAGCAACAAATGTTTGTGAGGATGTGGGGGAAAAGGTACTTATACAATGCTGGTGAGACTATAAACTGGTCAACCACTATGGAAAGCAGTATGGAGATTCCTCAGAAAACTTGAAATAGAACCACCATTTGAGCCAGTTATCCCACTCCTCGGTATATTCCCAAAGAACTTAAAATCAGCATATTATAGTGACGCAGCCACATCAATGTTTATAGCAGCTCAATTCACAATAGCTAAGCTATGGAACAAACCTAGGTGCCCTTCAACAGAAGAATGGATAAAGAAAAGATGGTATATATACACAATGAAATATTACTCAGCCATAAAGAAAACTGAAATTATGGCATTTGCTGGTAAATGGAGGGAACTTGAGACTATCATGCTAAGCATAATAAGCCAGTCCCCAAAACCCAAAGGCCAAATGTTCTTTCTGATATGCAGATTCTAACACACAATGAGGACGAGAGGGAAGAAAAGAAGTTCACTGGATTAGACAAAGGGAAGGGAGATGGAAATAGGAAAGACAGAATGAAACGCACATAACTTTCCTATGTTCATATATGAATATACAACCAGTATAATTC